GTTAGAGTGCACTCAGGTCAACTAAGGCTCAGACAGCAGATTTGGAGAGCTGAGTGTGAGGTCAGAACATCTGTGGGAAGTACATGGCTCTACATGGTCCTCAGGTGGTCTTGCTGTGGTCTGTGGGGGGTGGGCAGATAGAAAAATCTTTAAAAAATATAATGGAGAGAGCAACTGATGAAGACATCCCGTATCAACCCCTAGTTTCTCCACGCACACATGCACACACACACACAGAGACACACACATACACGCACACACACACATATACGCACACACACATACACACAGACACACATACACGCACACATAAACAGACACACACATACATGGACACACACATACATACACACACACATTTTCAAATATCATTCTCCTGTAAGCCATTTAATAATAAATGGCTCAAAAGAGCCAACATCTAATCTATATAGGACATTATTCTGATTTTACTGAATGAAAAGTTTCACTTGGGAAATGTTCCTTGGGAAAATGAGAGGGATCAGCAGGGCTAGCCTCAAAGCACGCTGCAGCTTCTTGGAAGAGCTGTGGCTCTCACCCTGAGGGATGCGGTCTCCACGGTCATTTCCTTGTTTTTCTAATACACAAAGCCCATCTCCATCCAGTGGGCCTTAAAAATATTTTATACTTCCAGACCTTCCCCCCAAAACTGTACATTTATGCCATGGGATGATAGAGTAACAAGATATTGATTGTCAAAAATACCAGTAAAGATTAAATCATTGACTTTTTTAAAAGCATATTTATTTTACATCCTACCTGCAGTTTCCCCTCCCTCCTCTCCTTCCTAGTTCCTTCCCTATCCACCCCTCCTCCATTTCTATTCAGAAAAGGGAGGCCTCCCATGGACATCAGCAAAACAAGTCATATCAATTTTCAGTAAGACTAGCACCTCCCCTTCTATTAAGGCTTGGCAAGGATACTCAGTATGAGGAGTAGGGTCCCAAAAGCCAGTAAAAGAGGCACAGACAGTCCCTGATCCTACTGTTAGGAGTCCTACAAGAAGACCAAGCTATACAACTATCACATATATGCAGAGTGCCTCGGTCAGTCCTATGCAGGCTCCCTGGTAATCATTGGCCTTTTAAACCAGAAATATTTCAATATGTTTTGGATGCCTGCTAGTGATTAACTTACTGTTTCCTCGATGAACTAAAGGAAAATAGCTACAAGATGTTTTATGTATAATTTTGACCTTTGGAGCTAGACTAACTGGGCTCGGTTCCTGACTTTCCCTGACGAGCTGCAGCATTAAACAAACAAGTAACTTTACTTTCTTCATCTACCAAATGAGCACTATAGCTCAGATTTGATATGAGAATTAAATTAATTGGATACATATAAGAAATTGTGATAGCGTCAACACACAGTTGCCAGTCAGTCAGTGGAGGCTAATTATTTTAATTTAGTACAATCTTACGGTAGATCAGGATTGCTTAAGATTATGAAAGTCTTACCCTCTTTTCAGAGCCAGATACGCTAGGGAGTCATGTGTTGCATCGTGAACCAATGTCAGAGAGATGGGAGAAGCCATGAGCTCACTCTTGCACACTGATTGCTGGGTATTCTTGAGAATTCCTCACTCTGCATTGCTCACAGTTGTGCAAATTCCCTGAGGTGACACACCTATGCCTTGAAACTAGTCCATAAAGTCCACACTATAAATGCTTCCTAGTTGTTGGGAGAAAAAAATGCCTAGCTGCATTTCTGGAAAACACTTCATAGTAAGCTCTTTTCTCATCTGTCACAGGCTGTAGCAATAAACAAAGCCATTATGATGCGGGCTAGTGGTGTAGCTCAGCTGGCAGAGTGCTTAACTAGGCTGCACGTCGAGCACCACATTTACAGTGGGGTGGCACATGCCTGAAATCCCGGCATTTAGAAGGATGGGCAGAAGAATCAGAAATTCAAGATCACTCTTGGTTCCCCATCTTAAAACACAGACACACACACATACACACACACACACACACACACACACACACACACACACACACATGGACACCATTCTTAATTAAGATGAATTAGTAAAGAAACATCCTGGGTATGGAAAATAACTCAGTTAGTAAAGAACTTGCTGAACAATCATGAAGTCTCCTGAGTTCATTCCTAAGAGCCCACATAAAAACCAGAATCAGAAGGGTTGAAGGGAAGGGAAGACAGGGAGAGGAGCAGAGAAAAATGTAGAGCTCAATAAAAATTAATAAAAAAAATACAACCAGAATCAGATGTATGGATTTATAACCCCAGGGATAGAGTGGCAGAGACAGAGGGATTCTGGGACTTCCTGACCAGCCAATCTAGCCTAGTTAGCAATCCAAGACAGGTGAGAAACCTTGTCTTAAAAATAAGGTGGAGAGTGATTGAGGAGAATCTCTCTCTCTCTCTCTCTCTCTCTCTCTCTCTCTCTCTCTCTCTCTCTCACACACACACACACACACACACACACTCACACTATACCCATCACTTCAATAATCTCCCTGAAGTCAGCTTTCAAGACTAACTCCTACCTCTAGGCTACTGTGGCATCCAAAAGCCTTTGCTTCCTCTAAGCTTCAGGAGGATGGAAAGTCGTGTTAATGAGCGAAGAAAGATAATGGAGTCTTACAGGAACTCTGGAAAGTTGGCTTGCATAGCCTCATCCTAAAGAGGATTCCAATCAACAGTTTTGTTGTTGTTGCTCGGAATGAACGTGTAGGCTGGAGAACGTTCTCAGGCTCTAAGTCAGCTTTTGTTTTTCCTAACTGGGCGTGCTAAAGTGAAGCTAACCTTAAATGGTAGCCACTCGTTTTTATTTGCTGTTTTATGCAAGCCTTTGCTGAGCCTTTCTTACTAAATTCTTAGACGTTTATTCAAGATTGACATCTCCACCACTCTACCATCCAGCAACTCTGCTGGCACCGCACATTCCTGGCAGCTGGCCACGGCAGCAACGTTAAGATTACCTCCTCCCAGGAACTCATTAAAGCTGTGTTTGCTGGCGTCAGCTGGAGTCATTCCATGTTCATTTAACAGGTATTTATAGAGTGAGCACCTACTCTGAGCACAGTGAAGAATCACAAAGACCCGAGGCATGGTTTCCCATTTCTCATCTATTCGAAGTCTTTTGAATTATTTATTTTATATGAACGAGTGTTTGCCTGCAGGTACGTTAGGGCACTCCCTGCATGCTTGGTGTTTTCAGGGTAACAAGAGGGCGTCTGGCAACCTGAAACTGGAGTTACAGATGGATGTAAGCTGGCCATGTGGGTACTGGGAACCGAATTCCAGTGTTATGCAGGTGCAGTAAGAATACTTAATTGCTGAGCCACCTCTCCAGCCCTTCATCCCCTATTCTACCAAACGGATTTAAATGTAGCAAGCCTAGGCATCAGTTTCCTTTCTGTTTGTGATGCTAAGGATTGGATCCAGGTTCTTGCACATGCTAGGCAAATGTTCTACCACGGAGTCCAATCTCCATCTCTTCAGTTTTCTCTCCTGATCCTCTGGATAAACTAGTCCTAACATTTGCCAGAAATAAAACATTTTTCCTTGTTACTTCTAACTAGAATCACAGCTCGTCTTCTTTTACTATTCTTGCTCTTGCCCATGGGCTTTGTTTAGTCTTATTTTGGTGGTAGTGGTTGTATGAAAAGAATCCAGGACTAAGGAAACCTTCTGCCACTAAAGTGTGTCTGTGGGACCTGCTCAGGGATAGAGCTCTTGCAAAGGGCTTTGGATTTGCTCACCAGTTGAAAACAAAACAAAACCTCATGTTAAACATTAGGTAACAATGTACAATTAAATAAAATGGAATGAAAAATGTATTCTAGGTTCTTAGTCTAAGTACATAGGAATTAAAAATAATAAGACTGTACTTTATTCCCTCCTTGGGCTCAAAGTCTCCCACAAATGCAGACATGGGCAAAGCAGTTGTCTCTGTTGGACAGTATGAGGGAAGACTTGAACGATCACCAGACGGACAGAGCAGAGAAGGGTTCCGTACATGGAGAACATCAGGTATAAAGCCTACAGAATGAAGAAGTGTATTAACGGTGCACGAAGTGTGCAGAGTTGTTGTGCCAAGGTCCTGGACAACCTGGGCTGAGAAGTTCACCTGAGCTCTGCCATTGGGAGTCCAAGAAAGGGGAATCCTTAGGGTGAGTGCAGTGATCAGATTTGCATTTTACAAAGAATATTATGACTGCCATGAATGGTATGAATTAGATGAGAGAGGTAGAACAAGGACATTTTAGAAATGTATTAAAAAGGATCATACTTGGTAAAAAAAAAAAAAAAAAACCTATGTAGGCAGGCCCTAGGCACTAGAGAATAACCTACTACCATTAATCTGCTAAGTGGACATAGTATTAGGCCAATTTCTAATGCCCCATTATTGGAGCCACAGATTAAGGCTCGGCTCTCATCAGAGAAGCTTTTGTTTGCAGTAACTGGGATCAGCACAGACACCCGCAGCTTACCACTGTGCAGAGAAGAGGCTGCAGGATGGTCAGCACCAAAGTGAGTAAATTACCTCACAAACCTCCTTCCAAGTCTCAGGGATCTTCAAAGAAGAGAGGAGTAAAAGACCTGTAAGACTAAGGCAGTGGATAGCTATGAGGAAGCAGTGTCTTCCGGACACAGCACGGTAGCTATACATATGACCTCAAAGCAGCTGTGACCACATGCACAAAATCTCGCCAGCCCAAGCCAGCCCAAATTCCGGCATAGAGAAGAGAGAGCGTGAAGTTCCACCCCTGGCTGAGGGGCTATGATTAGCGATCGCTTGCTTCCCAGAAAGGAACGGTCAGTTTTCTCTAAATGTGTAGCCATGATAAGTCCATCATACTCCAGTCGATTGCCCACACATGAAAGAATATTTGGGCAATTGCCTTTGGTGGTGGGGGGGAGACACACTATCGGGTGGGAAGGGAAGGAGGATGGATCTGGGAAGAGTTGGAATCAGGAGGATGACTAGAATCAAGACACATTGTACGAAATGCTCAAATAACGTTTAATAAAGAAAAAGGAATGATACAGCGTGCAACAGGAACCGAGAACACAGGGATGATGCCAGCGAGTCGGAATACGAGCTGCAGAGATACGGTGAAACCAAGTTCAAAGGGACCCTTAAGCTTCTAACTCTGGTGCCAGCTGTGTGTTGGTGTTTTGCCCGGATACTGAACTGTTGAGGGAAAACAAAAAGATATCTGGGAACCACAATTGAATGAGCACTTCAAAGATCTCCAGAAGCATCACTGTCAATGAGTTGGAAATCATGTGTTTGAGAACCATCCGTTTTGCGGACGGTAGTTGAAGCTTGCCTGGAAGTGTCCTGAGACAAAAACCATAACAATACGGGCGGCTAACAAGGCCTGTGCTGTGGCAACGCTAGCCGACACAATGGAGGAAATGCCACAAGGCCCCAGCCCTAGCTGAAGAATTGAGGACAATCAATGGCTGCTGAGAGACAGAGAATTTTTCTCTAGGGACAAGGGCCCCTGACAGGGCTCAGTTCAATCCCACGTGACTAGTCCACACACACACACACACACACACACACACACACACACGAGTTATGACTTTGAAAGGGAGTAGTTAGAGAGGGGAGAAGGGGGTGGAAATAATATAAATATAATATTTGTGTAAAATTCTAAAATAAATTAAAAGTTTTAAATTTTAGAATAAAAAACCTATATTTAAAAAGAACATTTATTCTCAGGTAAGTGAGCAGACACATCACAGACAGTTATGACTGCTTGGGACACAGACAGTAATATAGAAATGTGGAATGCTTATCAAGATTGCTGCGGTCACATATAATGAGATAATCTGAGACACAGAACTAGCAGAATGTTGTCTAAGCCTCATTAAGAGTTCAGAGGATGGTTGGAAACACACAAGTCAATAACACCAAAAAAAATAAAAATAAAAAATACTTCCATTTGTGGAGACCTCTATAAATGGAAATCTCATAATCTCTCCCAAACATATTTCCTTTCTATGATTTACAGTGTGACGTATTACAAAGAATCATTCTAATTCAACTACAAATGATTTTTAAGGCATTTCCCTAGCTGGCCATTTACCTTTCTCAAGCCTATACTCTACAGCAGCCACGGGGACTAATACAAGGAGACACCGTGGTTAGAAACAGAAAACCTTTCTACTGAAATCTACAACTTACGCGCTGAAGACTGCGTGAAACATCTTTTCTCTCGGAGGCCAGAGTTCACCGCTGGGGAGAGCCCCAGAAAACTAGGCCGATGGTGAACATCACTGAACAGAAAACCTTTTAGCCCACAGTGCTCCTCTTGAATCTCCATTTCTCCAAAGCTGTTTTGGTCTCGGTCTGATACTGCTGGACCCTGGGAGCTCTGGGACAAGTGAGTGAGCATGTGCCCTGTGTGTCAAAGGTTGGCACACAGACCTGCGAGCTTGGATCAAGAACAAAGCTCTGGCGATAAATAAAGGCACCGGAGAGTACCCGGCCTGCCTCTTCTTTCATCCATGCACAGCAGTTGTCAGACAGCCTGGACAATCTACCCCTCCTGTTCCTGCAGAGCAGATAGTCATCACTAAAGCCGCCCCAAAGGAAGCACATTTTAATGTTCAATAAAAACGGCACAAGCGGCAGCTCAACAAATATTAACGTTTGAAACTACCGTGTTTACATCTGTGACTTTCCCGTCTGAACCCTCACCAGCAGGCCGACATCCTGATAGGGGAAAGAAGGAAAACAATCTAAAGGCAGGATGGGTGTGGCCGCACGGAGGTCATTAAGAAAAAGAAGAAAAGGTAGCTATTTGAGCAGATCCTGAATAGTCATTAGGCCACTGGGCTGCAAGGATTTATGCTTTGCACTGGGTACCTTGGTGACAACCTTCAAAAGAAGTAGCCCCATTTTTAGGCCCTTTGTTTAGTCCTTACTGCAAAACAAAGCAAGATACAAGGTCGCACCTATAATAGCTCTCTCTGCACATGGAGGCGAGCAGCTGATGGCTCCTCCCCTTTGGGAGAAGCTTCCAGATTCCAAAGTTGGAAACATCCAGTGTAGTGTTCAAAATCATCATACATTTGCCTCACTTGAGTTTTATTAGTAGAAAGAAGCCGACAGAAAAGGGATAACAAAAAGAAACGCCCAGGATAAACATTCAGGATAAATAACTTCTTCTCGGTGAGCACACACACACACACACACACACACACACACGCACGCACGCACGCACGCACGCACCCACCCCTCTGGGTTTTGAACCAATTCCCACAGTTATACAATAAAGTTAACAGAAGGTATGTGAGCAGTGCATACTGCCAGCTGGGTAAAGGGCCCTGGGTGGGTCCTGCAGCTTCTCAGCCTAGATGACCAACTTCTCCACGCTAAGTGTGGTTTCATCCTCTTCGTTGGAGCCGAAGTATCCCGGGAGGTCCAGCATTCTCTGCTCGGCCTCAGTGAGGCGGAAAGAGGTGTTGTCGTAGAAGGCGAACTCTGGGTGGATGGGAAAGCTCTGACATTTATCTTTTCTGCAGTGAGAAGGGCTGAGCTGGCTGACTTTCTGGTAGCTATCTTTGGGGAAAATGGGTGAAGGCTGCTTCCGTGAAACACTCCTGTGACTGGGGGACGGTCCCCTGTGAGCTCGGTGAGGCTCCATTTTCTCAGCTCCTGCCACCAACCCTGCCTGGCGATCCCCCGAGTCCGGTTTCCTCCTGGGATGCCCCACAGTGTAGGATTTGGAGAGAGGGCCCAAGGGACTGCTGGCCCGACCTGCCCCTTGGAAGTGCTCTGATCGCTCTGGAAGCAGGTGGGCACTTCGACTAGGAGGCCTGGACCTATCCTCTATCTGGTCCCAGGTCCGCATCCTGGAACTGTAGGCAGGGACCTGGCGGGGAGTCAGCGCAGACAAGCTTCTCTCCCGGAAAGGGCGGGACTGCTTGGTTTCATGAAAACTAGCGGTCCTCCTGAAGAGGGAACTTCTGGAGTGGCACCTCTCAGATGAGCCCTCTCTCCCCACAGTTGACCTCGTCTGCGACTTGCGGATCAGGGTCTGGCTGGGACTGACCGCACAGCTGGGCGGAGGCACGACGCCATCCAGCCTGGAGGGGGGCCTATCCCCGGCGCCTGCCACAGGCTGGTCCAGAAATGGAGACTTGATTCGGAACTTGCCCGCTGCTGCTGCTTCTTCGGGGCATTCCAGGTCTAAGGGAGGACTGGCCGTGGCATCCACGACGGTGTCTGTCAGGGGACTCTGAGACACGTGGTACACTTTGGTGGTCTCGGTCAGCCCTTTCTTCTTCATCTCCTTCAGCTGCTGCTGGGCCAGGCGGTAGCTGAACAGGGGCGGGATGATCTTCTGGGCGTTGGACTGGAAGCTCTCACTGCCGGAGGCCTCGTCGTCAGGAGCCGCTGGTGCGCTGCACCTGTAAGTCAGAGGGATGCCTGTGTCCGCCGGGCTTCCCCTGGGTCCGTCACCCGCATCTGAGAAGCTTCCCCGAGGCTCGCTCAGCTCGCAGATGTTCTCCTCATCCGAGTTCTTCCGGAAGCCAGGGGTATGGATGGAGTTGTGTCGGGCAGGGGTGCTGCATTTGGGGGCTCTGCCGAACCTCCTCCAGAGAGTGATGAGCACGGTGGCAATGATGATGAACAGACACAGGGATATCCCTGTGACCGTCACTACGTTGTTGGACTTCACCGGACCCTGGGGTGGAACAGACGATGGGCCCGGCGGCCGGAATACTTGAAAAAGAAAAACATAAGTACAAAGTTAAAACAAATGTAGTGGCTTATGTTGATTTCTCTGCGTGATTTTGGGGCCACAGTGGTTGCCCCAGTTATCAGAGCAATTAAAGAGGAAAGGAAAGAACCAAAGATTTGGGTTTCTGATGAGAGCTGAAGGTGGCCAGTAAAGAGAGAACCCTGCAAAAACGGGGAACCACAGAAGGGGCCCAGGAAGCCACAACCAGGAGACTTCTGTGCTCAGCATCTCCTGCCAAGACTCCCTCAACACACTTATGAAGATGGGAACACGGGCACCTATAGTTAATTAAACGTACCTGATAAAGTCTATGTATAAAACTCAAAACCAAATAGAAATAATTTAGATAACTGTACCTAAACGTTTACAATTAGCAAAACTCACTGAGGAAAGTCCGACTAGGAGCCAAGTAGTTAATCCAGACCCCACCCCCTGTGCGGGAAGAAGCTGCCCACAATCCCGCTCTCAACCGTCACTGCCCTTCCCTGACTTGTCTTCATACCCGAACCCTCGCCAATGTGTGTCCCATGGTCGAGATGTCTTGTGAAGATGCAGAACCCCCTAGAGTCTCCGACTGTACTGCAGTCGGATGCCTGGAGACCAGGCGCCTACCATGGCCACCTGAGCTCACTGTGCCCCACTCCCACCCCTGCCTCAGTTACCGTCCACTGTCTAAGTGCTTCTGGGCACCTGCCCCCTTTTCCCTGTGGTATCACTCGGCCTCACCACCTCCACTTGCTCCCGGTGTTTCCCTGTGCTTTCCTACTGTTCTTAAAGCACACCTCATACTCCTCCGTCTCCCTTCAGAGGGAGGCCCACTTGGCCTCCTCATCTCACCTGAAGCCTGTCTCTCTCCCACAGAGCGATTTACCTCAACCCTCTCAGCTGTTAAGATGTCACATGTATGCCTTGGTATTGTTTTTTTAAGTATTTATTTGAGTGTGTGAATGCACGAGAGAGAGAGAGAGAGAGAGAGAGAGAGAGAGAGAGAGAGCCCCCTCATAGGCAAGAAGAGAGTTCAGATGCCCTGGAGTTGGAGTTAGAGGAAACTGAACTTTAGACCTCTGCAAGATCTGACTTTGAAAAAATTCTTAACAGGTACTCGTTAGTACACCTTCCCTTTCCAGTTGTATCCACGTTGCAGTCAAAGATGCATCAACAGCACAGGTTCACACCTTTGAAGCCCATCGGGGCGCTCTATCTGCCCCCTCTCCTCCTAGCGCACCAGCCTCTAGCCCCAGTGAACACCTCATGGGTCTCAGGTCTCTGAGCTGTTCACAGCTACGCCTTCAGTCATCGCTCCTTCAATCAAGCCCCCTGTCCGCCCGCCAAGCTCCTCTGGGTGGTGCGTTCTCCATTCTCAGGCTCCAGCTCCAGCATCACCCGCTTCAAGAACTGAGCTGTCCCCAGCATGGATTTTCACCCCACATGCTTCGAGAGAAATCCGCGGGCACTTCTACCATTTCAGGCTTTGTATTATATTCTATTTCTTTCTGAACCTTCCAGGCTGCTATATCATATTTCAAGACAAGGACGTACCTTGTAAGTAAATTAATTCAGTATAGTCCCAATCCCAGCCCCAGTTCACTGTAACCTGCACACGGTTGGTACCCAGTGAACACCAGTTTAATCAACCAATTCAGTCCTTACTAAGCAATCACTATCACACCAGATGGGATGAACCTACCAGAACGATGGCCTCTCCCTGCTCTTTCATTGAAGTGTTGCATGGCTGCGCTCAGGGGCACAGTTAGCCAGACAGAACCCTGGATCCCTGACTCAGTGAAAGCAGAGACTCGTTCCCTGGTGTGTCCCCTCTGTCACTGGCCATGACGGCCGATGAAGGTACATGGCAGCATTCACATCACCAGTCACAAAGTGCTCTCTTCGCTACACGACTTTCTGACTCTGGCTGGCAGCTTCAAAAAAAAACAAACAAACAAAAAACACACAGCTGGAAAAGAGTTTTTCTCAGCTGCTGGTTTGGCCCATCCTGCCTCATCCTACGCTTCCTGGATCTCCTGAAGTGAAGCAGATGCCCTGATGTTAAAGCAGATCTTCACATCTCCAAGGAGTGACAACGTACGAAATAGGAGGAAGCGAATATGTGGAGAGATCGTTTTATCCCGGGCGTCGGTGTACAGGAAGGGGTAACTTCATCACTTAGCTGTCTGGTTAAGAATGTGTGCTTTTCCAGACCCCACCCAATATCACAGAAGCAAAATACAACCATATTTCCTCAGAAAACAATGGCCAATTCCACTTGCAAATGTCTCTTCCAGAAAGCTACACTGGCCTGAATATAAATGCAAAGTATTTAAGATACGCAGCTTACTATGATTCCTATCCCCCTCGATGCCTCATTGTGTGACCCTGGGCAGGGCACCTCCATGTGCCCAGAGCCTTCCTCCAGACTGTGCAGGATAGAGTATATAGTCATCACTTAGTATCTTAGGATTGTCTCCTGGATGCTTGGGGATATCAGCCTCTGCAGGTGTCTACAAAATGGTGTCAGAGTTGCATAGAATTCATATACATCCTCCTGCTTTTGAAGACATTTTTTGGTCACCTATATTGCCCAGGATTGGACAACAGTTGTATAACTAGTTGTCACACTATAAACATACAGAATGATGACAAGAAAAATGGTTGGGCTCAGCAGGTAAGGGCACTGGCTGCAGACCCCAACGGTCGAGTCTGACTCCCATAGTGCATAGGATAGAAAGAGCAAGTGCTGCAGATTACCTTATGACTACTACACTAGCACCGTGGCACATGCATGCACTCAAAGGTTCATGTGCATGTGCACATGCAAAATTTGCAATGTTAAAAAAGAAAAAAAAAGTGTTTTTCCATGTTCAGAACAGATGCAATTTCTTTTATAGCGTTCAGGACTTATTAAAGAAGATGAGGTGACTGAGGGCAGAAAGAAAGGTCTAGGCTACGGTTGCAGTAAGAAGACAAAACGGAGAAGAACATTCTTTAGATGCTAAAATGAAGGCCACAAGGCCTATGGTACTGGCTGAAAAGACAAAGGAGCAAAAGGACCTTTTAAGGCTACAGATGGGGACACTGGGAGATGCTGCTGGGTGCCTATAGTCTTGGCTAAAATGTTCTCTAAGGTCCAAATAAAGGGAAGCATCTAAAGCATCTCAATCCCATAAGGCAGGGCTAAGGATGCCTTTGAATCTGGAAACGGAGAGTATAAGTAGGTGGGCCTTGACAGAGGAACTTTATCTAAAAGTCAGGACCTCAGCAAAAGCTGGCCAGCTAACCAAGCTGCTTCTCAGGAGGTGACTGAAGGAAGAAGAACGTGACCCTTCCATCGCCATAACTGTAAGTGCTATTCCACTCCACAGAGGAAGCAAACCTGGCTCAGGCAAGCGACCATCTCCATGAACCACTCACAACAAATACCCTGGAGTACCTATCAGGGTGGACCTCCACGATGCTCATAAAACGCAGACAAGTCCTGTCGCTGGGGATGGCGAGAAGAAATATCCCTGCCTCCTCCTCCCAGACAGAACTGGTAACAGATAAACTTAGACCACTGAGAAGGAAAGAAACAGGGCGCCCTGCTTTTGACAACTGAGGGTCTACATACCCCCTCTGGACAGCCTCTGAGATGACAGGCGGAGAATTAAGAAAAGATGTTTTTCTATAGGATTTTTTGTCATGTTTCGTTTTTAGGTGGGCGAGAAGGTGGGGGGACAACAACTGGTTGGGCACATTGTTATGCCTCTGTCCTAGCACTCCAGCTGCTGAGATGGGATAAAAATTCAAGATCTCTCTGAGCTACAGAGTGAGATCCTACCAAAAAAAAAATCTGGTTCCAGCAAGATGGCTCAGTTAGTGAAGCGCCCCTGCCAAGCTTGAGAGCCTGAGCTTCATCCTTGGCATCCACACAGGCAGGAAAGAACAGATTCCCGCATCATTTCCCAACTATTTCTGTATTGTTTAATAAAACCCCTTAACACAGCTGAATTTTTAGACATACTCCCATGTCACTTCCCTCACTCCCAATAGTAAATCCTATCATCTCACTGGCAAGTTACCATGGCAACTACTCCAAGTCTTAGACACCGATAATCGCAAAGCCAGAACAGTGGCAATCAGAGAAGTAAGCGTCCACTGAGCACAGACAGGCCTAACTGGCAGGGACTCTGAGCAGTGACCCGAAAGGAAGCAGGAACACGTACCAGCACACTCCTCCAGGGAGCATGAAGAGGTCTCTGAGGATACTCCAGAGCAGCTGGGTCTGGAGGGGAAAGAAGCGAGACACGCGCGGCGCCGTTCTCGGACAGCCTCCCCGCACGTGTTGCTACACTGACTCCACGGCTGCCATGGTCCCCAAGACTCTGCAAGGATATAAGTCATGCTTTTAGTGCCAAGCATTTAAGAATCAGTGTTTAACTGCACCCGAACGAAGCGGCAAAACTCAAAGCTCTGGTCTTAAAAGGCTAGAAGTAAAAACATTCTCATAGATGTAAAAAATCTGGAGGGCCAGTCTTCGTCTCAAAACAAAGAAGAGCTGTATCATGTATACAGCCTTCGCCGGTCTTAGCATTCCTACACCCCACCAGAGGGCTGAGGTCACAGGGCAACAGACCAGCCCGCAGTGAGAGGAGAGTCAGGCCCCTCCGAGGAAAGAGGGGCAGCAATACTTGTTTGCCTGGGACAGAGTCCAGAACCCACCCACACCAGCTCATCAGACAAACACATCTAAGACGCAGGAATCGCTGAGGGGGTAGGATGAGAACACAGAGCCCCTGGGGACAAGATAAGAAGGGGAACTTGTGCCCACTTGCACCTCTTCCCACCAGCAGGACTGAGGTCAAGTGCAGGACTAGACATAGTGTGTGTCTGGAGGGACAAGGTCACAGAAAGAAAGCCATCAAACCGTATGGATCCTTCCTTCCATCTCCTCTATGGAACAGCCTCCACCGCTGTGCATAGCAAACCAGTCATTCTGAGAGGATTCACTGAGGCTAGCTGTTGTGACAGACTTGCGGAAGAGCTGAAAATGTCTTGGGCCCCCACTATTCGAGGTCTTCCACGACTACATGAGATCATAGAGCCTGCCTCATCCCTGGGATTCAGACACATAGCACTTGTTTCAAATGAAACAGAACCACCACAAGGCAGTGAGTAAATTAAGTACCGAGTAGTTTAATATCAGCAATGAGTCATACCTCCAGGCTAGAAAATCGCATACCAAGTCCCAAAAACCAACAGTTTGGTGCCCATGGAAGGCAAGAGCTAGAGATGAAAGCTAAGGTGAAGGCTGGCAAGATGGTTCATAAGATAATGGTGCTTGCTACCAAGCCTGAAGATCTGAGTTCAATCCCTAGAATATACATACAAATCCTGCAGGATGATGGAAAGTGAGGGACGTATAGAAACATGAAGACAATCCCTTTGGCAGCACCAGGTTTCCCCTGAACAGAGAGTAACACTGACACATACTGAAATCTTAGATACAGTAAGGGTTGCCAGAGCAATAGGAACAACCCAAACACGGCCCAGTTCTTTACCACATTAACCCAAAACCCACAAAAATAGCCTATTGAAAGCAGAAGTATACCTATTTCTGGAAATAAATTACATTTGCCTCAGCGTCTATAATTTCAAGCAATTCTGAGATGCATAGAAAAGCAAGAAATAATAGTAATCAATAAAACCAGACTCCGAAATGACTTAGATAGTAGGTATATTGGAAATAAAATTCAAAATGCCCATGAGTAATTAGAAATTAATGGAAAAGTCAAACAAGATATACACACACATGAAAAGATACACCACTATTGTAAGCAAAGGAGAATAACTAAAATGCAAGAACCACAAAATTACAGGAGCGAAGATAACAAAAGCCTTCATCCAACTCCCAGCATATTCCACACACTTTAAGAAAATAATATGAATATGGGTAAATAGAAAGAACTCAAATGGAAACATAAATACATCTCTGAATAGAATATGTACCCCAAAAAGCACGTGGTAGGAGTCTGGCACACCCCAACCCCACCCTGCGCAGCAGTGTTGGAAGGTTCGAGCTAATGGAAAATATTTAGGTCCTAAGGGCTCTGCCATCATAAATGCCAATGCTCCCCACAAAAGCCATAAACCATCTCACAAAAACCCAGCACCAAGGATAAGAATCGTTGGTCAGGGAAACCCAAGAGACTCCCAAAACAATATAGGCTGTGGCTGTTGCCCTTGACTGTCTCCTAGAGGTTGAAGGCAGGTCCCTATTGCTGAAGACACCATGAACTTCAGGCACAGAACCTGGAAAATTTGATCTGTATCTGAGTTTCTGCCTGCCTGAGGACTTGGTTGCAGAATATCAAAAAGTACTATGGCAGCTTGTGAAGAGGGAGGTAATCAGTCCTGCCCAGCTGGGACACCCAGGAACCACAACAATGGCCAGCATGTCAAGGAATTCTTAAGAGTGCAACGGTGGCTCTCTAGCTTGGCAGCAACCAACAGCTGTCTACTTAGACCTAAGGCCTGCTCATCAGAATGGAAATCAGACCTGGTACTTGGAGACCTATCCGACTAACCTGGACTACATGGATCTTCGAGGAAACCTACTGCTGCCTCTTTGCTAGACCAGAATAACTCCTAACTGCATTCTAGATACTTGTCTTTATAGCCACAGAGATGTGGAGATCTCAACCCTCATCAAAAAGCTTGTTTTGTAGCAGTTATGAGACCATCATAGAAAATCACAACTGGTCATAGTGCAGAGAACACCTGACCATGGGGGGACCCAGCCCCAGTAGATATGTCTACTACTCTACAGAGAGTAAATCTACAGAGAGATTTTAAAAGTCAGAGGACCAGGAGATCTGTGAGATTGTATCTCCTAGAAAAGACAGGGAAGCTGCAACCATGATATCACAGCAACATGGCTCCCTAAACAAGACCTGAGCGATGAAAATGCTAACAGACATGCTCCAGCCCTAGAGAAAGAACTACAGGCAACTAATACCTGCAGAGAGAAGAACTAGTCTTCCCCAGAGATAAGCCCCTAAGGTTATGCAACACCAACTGGTCAGCCTTGACATCATATACATATAAGCAATACTAAACAGATTCAACAGGTTGTATTTATATATTTATGTGTATATATGCAGGTATGTATGCATATTTAACAATAATAATCAAAGGAAAAGAGGCCATGAGTTTGAGATGGGGTAAAGGAGAATGGAAGGGGGTGCAGGGAGAAAAGGTAGGAGAGGAATGATGTAATTATACTTTAATTAAAATAACATTATTAAGAAAAAAACTTTCTCAAAGTAGACTAAAGGTAAAGATATATTTACATATCGTTATATATATTATATAACATGTCTGTTATATTTTATATGAGAGAGAATATAAAATACAGAGATATATTTTAAAAAATATAAAATATAAATAGAGAGAAATTTCTAGAACAATCACTAAAAATATTTTAATGTATAAATCATTGACTCATAGGATTGTTAAAGTAAATCATAAAAATCTTCAATTAATCTACAAAAAAGGAGAAAAACAAAACAAAGATCTAATGGAAAATTTATAACCCCAGAAAAATAGACTTTAATTCAAATGTGTAATAATAAAACTAAACATAAATTGTATGTGTACATATATGTGTGTGTGCTGTTTGAAATCAAGAACTTTATATATATGTGTGTGTGTATAATATACACATAAAACATGTATGGGTCAAAAATAAAAGGACAGAAGAAAATATAATTTGTGAATATTGAAAGGACTATTGGAATGCCTATATTAACAAAAGGCAAAACTAGCTGCAGTCAGAACTGGGGACGTTACCTGGCTACAGAGGAGCAATGCGGGACAAATGAGTCAGTTGCTCTTAACAGTCCTAGGGGCGATCCACCTATGCACGGAACCTCACAATACACACAAAACTGCCCCCAAACAGCTTTCTTCCACTCTTCCAGTAGTGGGATAGAACCCAGAGACTCTGGCACACTAGACAACTGCTCTACCACTGAGCCACACCCTCCAGATAAAAATGCTGTTGACAAATTCAAACTTCCTCTTCAAAGCAGATATGAAATCACTGCCACTCACAATAACTTGTTTCTTAGTGACAATCAATCCAAACCCCTTCTCTGTTTATAGGTATCCATCCAACACTCGTATCTATCATAATCGGCAGCACGTCACCCTCTGTATAATAATGTCTCTTCATCCCTCATGGGCAAAAACTCCTAACGCAGCTACAGGTACACGGAGCACTACAAAAACACAAGGAAAACCGTAGGGCAGAGGTGTTCTCAGGGGAGCCAAGTGCTGCAATCTCTGGAGTGAGTCATGGAAGAAGAGTTTGTTAAGGTAATTAAGCCTCTGCGGGTTTTCACAAGCGTATGAGCATTTTAAATGAGCATCATGGACCAACATCAACCGAGATGTGGTAATGATATTCCATGCAGAGGTCCAACTGAACACAATATTGGTTCTGTGCCTCCTGGATCACACTGTAGTGCGTCCTGGGGAAGAACAATGAGCCGGCTTTGTCTGCAAAGCTCCAGAGCAGCTCAGTCCCTGAGTCCCCCTGTGCCTGTGGAGCTCTGGGAATCTCCTAAGAAAGTCCCTCTGTGTTCACCTAATGCGGTTCATTTTCTAAAATTCTACTGGAAATTCTATTACTACAAGATCTCAATAGAAAGTTAAATCAAAATACAATTGATTTATCCTTTTCTTGTGTTTGTGTTTCATACCCTGAAATGGAGAATTACAAAAAAAAATAATAATCCTCTTGTTTCTCTAAGCATACCAATCAAAAGCCCAAGGTAGTTAAAAAGCACGACCCATTTATATTCTCTGTAAAAATGATTTTGACTTTCTGTAATACAAGTACAATTTCTTTAAATACATAAAACCATTTGTGAAATAAAACCAACAACTCCCTTAGTGAGCCAGAAAAAGAAAATCAGTTTTGATTCAAAACAAAACAAAACAAAACAAAACAGAAAAACATGAATCTTAATGTAAAAACAAAACAAAATATCGTTTAAAAATGCGTTTGGGCTTAGGAGATGGCTCACGGGGTAAGAACATTTCCTATGAAAGCAAGAGGACCTGAATCCACCCCCCAGGACCCTTGCAAACACCAGGCAAGACTATCTGTGCCTGTAGTTCTAACACAGGCATCGGTGGAAGCAGAAAAATCCCAGGAGCTCACTGGTCAGCCAGCCTACCTGAAACTGAGCTTCGGGCTCCCTAAGAGACCCTAATTCAAAACTGTCAGAAGAAGGTGGAGCGCAGTAGAGGAAGATGTCGGGAGGAGGCAGGGCCACTACTGCCCAGCTCCAAGCTGAAAGTTTGTTATTGCCTTAGACTGGAATTGACAGAGCACTGATAAAATGACCCGCCAGGCTAGTCTGCTTAACCTTTGGTTTCATTTGTTTTGGGGTCCTGGGACCAAGCACTCTACCTACTACCGAGCGACAGCCCCAGTTCATAACCCACTCCGCTTTGCACCCTGACTCTTCACTCAAACATCCTGGGCAAACTACTTCGCTTTTCTGCGCCTTCACTTCCTCACCTATAAAACTACAATACGATTAGCCTAAGTTACGGGGTTATAAGGCCTAAAACGGTGAAGAGCCACGAAAAGCACTTAGAACAGTACCAGGGGCACAGTAACCACAAAAAGACCATAAGGAGTCCCTTTTCGCAACATGCAGAATGTACTGGATCCGTGGGTCCTAAGTCATATTTAGAAGAGGAGAGAGCCATAAACACATTATTCCATTTTTTTTTTTTTAATAAAAGGACTAATAAAATTCAGTGAGTCAGTGACTCAGAAGAGTGGCAGTGAAGAGGTTGGGGAGGGATATATGCTATAGTTGTAATTCTCTATCCCTTTAAGAGACAAGCCACGCCCACTCCCTCCCTGTCCACCGAGGCAAGCTAATCTTCAGTTTCCTCTGAAGTCTGCCTCACTCCTTTCTCCCCACTTCTCCTCTCTCTCTCTCTCTCTCTCTCTCTCTCTCTCTCTCTCTCTCTCTCTCTCTCTCTCTCTCTCCCCTCTTCTCCTCCTCTCCCCTTCCCTTCCATAACCCACTAAATAAACCTCCAACCTCACTCTGCATGGCATGCCTATCCATGTCTCTGTCTCTTGCCTGCTGCATGGCTCCCTGCCTGGGACCAGCTGCCTTCGGAGACCTGCAGTGTGGTCTCCTGGCATGCCCATCTCTCCTCGTGGGACTGGCTGCCCCATTGAGGTCTCTGACCCACCACACGGCTTGTGGCCCACGGCAGCCACTCGGGGAACTGCGCCATCCCTGCCTGGGAGTGGCTGCTCTCGGACCCGCGGCCTGCAGCCTGAACTTTGGCGACCTGCAGCATGGTCTCATGGCCCGCTGCCTGCTGTGCTCCTGGGGAACCTGCAGCATTTTACTTAATCCATTATAATAGTAACATGAGGACCTCTCCCCAGCATCCATGTGAGGACCTTGGGGGTCGTTTCTCAGGAGCCGCATTGTTTTTCGTCTGAGACATGATTTCTCACCAGGTCCTAAGGCCTCTTGGTTAGGCTAGCTTGACTGGTCAGAAAGCCCCAGGGGTCCCTGTGCAGGAAGGTACTCGGCGGGGATACCAAAGGAGAAAGGTAAACAAGAAACAGCTACAAACTCTTTGATGACCTGCCTGCAGAGTATGCCGGTGCAATAGTGGCACAAAGCTTATGGGGGTAACCCATCAAAATCTTATTGATTTAAGGCCCACTCCACAAGATAAACCCATACCCTGTGTGGGTAACCAAGAACCTGAGACTAGACAGCCCAGGGACCTAGGGGAGACCAAACATTACTGCCCTGCTAAAGGGTTATCATAATAAGATAACTCCTAATGACATCCTGCCACATTCGTAGATCCGTGCCTTGCTCAGCCGTCATCAGAGCAGCTTCCTCTTGCCGTGGATGGGAACAAACCAGAGACCCACAGCCAGACAATATGCAGAGAACATACTGGAACACTTAGTGCTAACTTGGATGTCTCCATCACATTCCTCCCCTCAGGGCTCAGGGAACCATGCAGAACAGGAGGTGGAAAAATTGTTAAGGGCCAGAGGGGATGGAGGACACCAGGGAAACAAGGCCTTCTAAACACAGCGGGACTGGTTCACATATGAACTCACAGAGACTGAGGCAGCATACCCTAGTTTGCACGGATGAATCCGCACCACGTAGAGTCCTAAAGCTGAGAGAAGTGGGCACACACCCCCGTCCCTAACCAGAAGCTATGCGCAATTAATAACCACTTGCAATAGAAAAAAAATGGTTTTCTTCAAGGGTGGGGAAACAGACCACTCTTAAGTGTGGGCCCCATGCCCAGGAGCAGATGGCCAACACAAAATGAACTCAACGGCATCCTTGGAGGGTCTCTGCCTGGTAATGCTAAGTCATTGCTTCTGATTTTGTTTTTTTTTTTTTAATGGGACTCCTGTGTGTGCCACCTCGTGTGTGACTGAGTCTACATGTATTTCTTGTGCTTTTTCTTTGGCTCTTTTTTTTTTTCGGTTTGTTTTTTCCTATTCCAACTTGTTTTTGTTTTATCTTATCTCATTTTCATTTATTATTATTCCTTACATGCCTGTTTGTTTTCTAATGGGAGGCAGAAAGGGTGTGGATTGGATGGGAAGAACGATAGGGAGGAACTGGAGGAGCAGAGGGAGAGGAAACCATGATCAGGATATAGAATATGGAAAAATCTATATTCAATAAAAGAAACCACAGTATCACAGCCAAGGGTCAAGAGCCATCCTGAGAGAAGGGATAAAAGAACTGTAGGACCTTGAAGTTGGGGAGGACAGGAGTGAAACTAGGTTTTTGGGATAGGACCTGACCTCAGTCCCCAGGGACTCACAGCATCTGTGGCTGCCTGAACAAGACCACCATGGAGTGGAGAGGAGCACCCGGCCCTCCATCTCTAGCTGAAGAGATACTGATGCTTAATAGTTTTTGAGGGCAAGAGAAAACCTAAAGAGGTTCTGTGAATTGAACTGCCAGGACAGCTATATGGTCCCACAGTCCCCAAAAAGTTCTGTCTCCCCAGAATCCACACCCACAGGCTCACCTAGCTATGGGTAGAAGGTATTCAGAGAAAAACACTGCACCTGTGCCGAGATGCACAGTCTCTCTTCTTGTCATTGTCCCGCAGACGATGCAGAATAACAGCCACTGACACAGATTACATCGTACTGTCGTAGCCTAGAGACGACTTGGGGTTTACAGGAAGTGGAGTGTAGGTTGTATATGAATCCTATGAAATGCTGGTGCCTGGGGACCCCAAAACCAATCTCCCACAGAAATTGAAAGATGAAGATGCTCTTAATTTTTCACGGAAAATACTAACGCTAATTGGTATAGCCTGGAGAATGAATCATGAATATTACAGATCACCTAGACTCTATTAATCTTGATTACACAAATTTAAAATTTTAACTTTAAAATGCTGAAAAATCTTAATACCAACCTATATTTCTCTGAATTAGCATGCACTCCTTTGCAGAAAAATGTCTTTTCCTTGAAATTCCAAAATTAAAGCAGTACTTGTTCTTCCCCACATCAAACAAAGTGCAGTTAAACACTGCGCTCTTCTCTCCCAGCGACAGGCTGTTTTCAGCCAGCTGCGAAGTCCTCTCCCCCGGGTGTCTGGGGGCCTCTTTGTAAACAGCAAGCACTCCTTGGACAAAGACACAAGGAGGAGGCAGGACCGTCACTTCCACCACAGACTCACACGTGACTTCCGGTGCCATTGCCAATATGTATCCGAATTTTTGGGCCAGGTCAATAGGTCCTACAGACGTGATGACTGAGTCTTGACCCCAAAGCTTCAGCGTCACAGTGACGTAGGCTTCCACCCCTACGGGTGCACAGCCAAACTCAACCCATTGAACTTGAGCGAGTTCTGTCCTTTTGGTGGCTCTGATCTCCAGCGGCTGCCCCGTTGTTCTTGCCTCTGGAAGACTGTCGGTGAAAACCACGTCCACCAGCATGTCCGGCTTGTCCCCTGGAAACAGGCAGAGTGGTTGAGTGGTAAAAAGGCCCACCTGGAAGGTGCCTTCTGCAGCCATGGCTGTCCGATTCAAATCAATGTGGAAGATGGGCCATTCTACCTTCAGAAAGACACTTTTCTCCCAGCCGGGAGCTTGTGTGCCATTGTCCGTCGCTTCCGGAGTCATTACAAACCAGTAGTCGCCGGCCCCCTGGAAGAAGAAGCACTCGAACTGGAGAGTCCCCTGGGACTGGTTGGTCAGGAGGTATTTCGTGGTGAGAGTCTGATTGGTGTTGGCCTCCCACAGCATGACAGACACGTTCCTCAGTGTCCCATTAGCGTCACCGAGGGAGTGGAAATCCACAGATACCGTTCTGTCGCTCAGGGCCACGTGGACCGGCTCTCGCAAGAGGAGGTACTCGGCTTCTCCGAGGACTGGAAGGCAATGGTCAGAACTGTATTTTAAAGGGTGCGCTTGAGTTGAACTACCAGCGACGCAATGAAGAGAAAGAGGAAACAAGCCAAGGACATTACAGAACGACCCACAGGAACTAAGAGGCTAAGCACCCGGCTTTTTCATTTCTAAGAGCTATGTGTTCTTTCATCGCCCTTACGTTGACAATGGTGGACAGTGATAACCGCTCTGAATTCACAACATGTAACATCTAACTGCGGTGAATAACTGTGAAGGTAGAAGAATAATCGACAGGTCCCAGGCTCTAAACTCTGCCCCTCATGTTTCTTACTTTAATAATTTTCAGGTGTTCAGAGAAAGTTTGGTTTAAATGGCACACTACAGATTCCTGTAGATTATTTAAAATGTAAGATACTCACTTCTCTTCAAAGTTACTATTCAAGATAAGCATTTAGGAATTTTTACCAGAAAAAAAGAACCAGTGTTCTCCACTTGGGTGAGGAGGAGGGTTTTAAATGGATGAGAGATGTCATTTATTTATACTTTGCTGGTCACCCATAATCGTTTGAGCATTTCTGAAATAACTGGGCAGGTCCTTGGCAACTTTAAGGCCACGACAGCAACTGCGCTGCATCGACAGGGCAGATGGCTGCTAACTTCCCAAGCACCGTTCAGTAAAGACCAAACACATCTTTGAAAGGGACCAGCAGAGCAGCTGACAAGGTACAAAGAATCCAGACACATAAGAATCTTTGTTTCTTTTTGAACTGGACCCAAAGAAATATCAAAGCAGGCAGAATCTGGCAATGCAACAATCAGCTGGCCCATGACTGAGTAAGACATTATACTATAACGAAAGAACTGCGAGGACCCCTTTTTGGTTTGAAAAATGCTACATAATTTAAAAGTGTGTTATTCTTACTGTATATATCCCATCCACACATCATGTACACATCATGTACACGTCTAAGGGGCTCACATTTTTGCTTATAATTACCATCTTTAAACTCCCCTTATCTTAATTTAATCAGTGACTAGTAGAATCAGTACATGATTATATCAACATATAGATCAGTCAGCACCTCATCTATTTCCTACCTGAGAGTAAAAGAAGATAAACTTGGATAGATTTGAATACTTGATCATACTTACTGAAAAATTATAATGGGATAAAATTTGCTTTATTTATTTATTTTTTTTATTTAGGAAAAATGGAAGTCGATGAATATTCCCTTGCATCCGGAGACAACGTGAGCTGAGGAAGGTATACACTAGTGGCAAAGAGACTCTCACACTGATCATAGGGCAAGGAATTAAGGGAGGAATTAAGACTGAGACAAAGTAATTTTAAAAATGCTTTTGAAAAAGTTTAAGTGTGTGTGTGTGGAGAGAGAGAGAGAGAGAGAGAGAGAGAGAGAGAGAGAGAGAGAGAGAGCAGCTACCTACAGAGGCAGACACACTGGATCCCTTGGAGTTTCAGGTGGTTTCGGACCACCTAACACAGATGCTGGAAATCGTGCTCAGTCTTCTTGCCCGCTCCTAACTGTTGAAAGATTTCTCCAGCCCCACTAAGGTCATCTTAATTTAAATTTGAAAGGGTCAGATTTGTTCTCTAGTGCATCTTAAGGACAAAGGGGCACATACCACTTCATTAATGTCTAAGTTAGGATCTCTGTTGCTGTCATAAAACACCATGACCAAAAGTAACTTGGGGAGCAATCAGTTTATTTCAGTTTGCAACTGAATAACTAACTCTGGTGTTTAAGTATTTGGGGAAAATAAATATACAATAGTAAGGAAAGTTTGACTGAAATGGCATGATACAAGTTGCTATAGATTATTTAAAGTGTGAGCTACTTAGCTTCTCTTCAAAGTTATGATTGTCCAATATTCAAGATAAGAATTTTTACCAGTAGAACTACTGTTCTCCAATTGGGTGAGGAGGGAATTTTCAGGTGGATGAGAGATGCTATTTCTACTCTTCATTGGTCACTCGTAATAGCATGAACCTTCTGAAATAACTAGGCATGCTACACTCTATCACTGAGAGAAGGCAGGGCAGGAACTCAACACAGGAACCTGGAGGCAGGAGCTGGTGCAGAGGCCATGGGGGGGGGGGTGCTGCTTACATGGCTTGCTCCTCGAGGCTTGCTCAGTCTGATTTCTTATAGAAGCCAGGCTCCTGGGTCCAGGGTTGGTACCACCCACTGTGGTCTGGGCCCTCCCACATCATTCATTAATCAAGAAAATGATCTGTAGACTTACCTGTAGGCCAGCTTTATGGAGGCATTTTCTCTATGAAGAACCTCTCTTCCCAAATGACTCTAGCTGTGTCACGCTGACACAGAACTAACCAACAACAACTAACAAGGCTGGGATTGTTTTGTTTTGCCTTGAGCTAGGATGTCATGTAGCAATCCTCCTGCCGTCTACCTCCCAAACACCAGGATTACAAGCATGCATCATGCCCAACGATCCAGAGCCTATTATAAAAGACAGATTGCCAATGATGCTGACCAGATTCTGATTCAGTGGGAGCCATCAATGAAAGCAGTATACATATGCAGCTGGAACAGGAGAACAGAGAAGCAATGAATGGGTTCCAGAGGAAGTAGGAAACAGAAGGCATGTACTAAACAAAGGAGGAACTCACTACTGTACCCCAGAATTCCTATTCGTGTGGTTGAGAAGAAACTCTCATTTTAAAGACTACAATCTGGTCTTACTGCATCCTAGTACTACGCTAGTGTTTTTTTGTTTTGTTTTGTTTGATTCTTCTGTTATTTCCTTTTCCCTTCCCCCATTTATTACAGAATTTAAAGTAACTAGAATATTCATGTAAGCATGTTTACATACACATGTGTATAACCTATAATAATAGATCTCATTTATTTTCAGCAGATATGAAGGGGAAAAAAAGAAGTATGAAGATATCTTTTTTTGCCAGGCATGGTGGCGTACAGTTTTCACGCAGGACAGGGAAGCCTGTGCAGCACATGACAGGGCAGGCATGGCTGTGTGGTAGCCCCATCTCTCGGGGAAGAGCAAAGGAGGGAGAGCTAAGTGTAACGTGCTTGTTTTCATTTAGTCAATAGTACTGAGGATTTGTTTCATTTTTTTTAAGTTAAAAATACATTGAAATTGAAAGTTGAATCAATCAGGCAAACCCCCCAAGTAGAGTATTTCTTGAGAGGCCAGGGTGACAACGCCATGGCTTCAAGACTTGACCTCTCCCGAGCAGGGTCGCCAACATCAGTGTAGAAATACGGAGCGGCGGCGGGGCTGCGTCCCCAACACCCCGGCCACTCCTAATTCAACACATCAGTGCATTGGTTTCCCGGCGATGCCAAGGGCTTGGTGGAGTCTCACCGTACTCACCATAGTCACAGAGCACCACCAGCAAGAGATTTGAAAAGTCTTTCAACATTGGTTTCATTCTGATCGGTAAAATCCCAGGCCTTTAGTCTCCTCATGTCCTTTCTCACAGCAAAATTGTGGGTTTTTTTTTTCCCCAAAAGCACCTGAAATTAGAAACTCAAAATTGGTGACTCCATTTAATATAATTCACAAAACCAGAAAAACCACAAATGACATTTGTTCATAAAACCATGAAGTCGGGGACGGGCAGCTCACGACACCTGGCTAACTTCATCTCCTCTGGCCTCTCAGGAAACCTGCACACATGTGGCGTACACCCAAGTAGATACACACAAAAAACATGCTTAAAAGTAAATAATTATAAATATAATAAAATAATAAAAAGTAAGAATAAAAAATTTTAAATGGAAATGCCATTCTTTTTAATTTTTTTTGTATTACTATGCTTTTAGAAGTCAAACTTTCTAGGAATTTTAAAAAGATAGAGAAGACATGAGTTTTCCCTGCCGCAAAGGCCTATAATTACCTCGCTGAGAACACACAGTCAGGCATGCCCCATGCCAAGATTACCCTAGAAAACACCTCGATCTTGCACCTTTGCAGCACGTCCTGAAGTGCAGAGAGTTACTTGCTTAATGTTAGGGAAGCTAACAGCTAATGTGGGTAGCATACTTTCACACTGCCTGTAAGTCGGCATCTCACCCTGATCAATTTAGTAAACGCCTCCAAGTCTACACTGAACGCTCTACTATGGATACCCAAGTCCTCCTTACCTGGCTCCTACAAACGGATTAACACTTGAAGACTGGAGTATTTATCTGTTTGCTTCGCTTCTTGAGTCCTAGGAGCTGTGTCCAAATGATGAATCCTTTTAAAGAGATACTCAGTACCTCTTTAAGTCTGGCACTCGAGTGGGCTGCCTGGTCTGCTTCTCCCATCCATTCTGGTCTCTACAGATGACTCTTAGACCTGCCACCTGCCAGCCTGGGCCCCACCTCCCAGCCCACTCCATCCCCTTGGGACCCAGCCTCCTGCTGGGTTCTTTCTTTAGAACCTGCAGAACTACTCTCTACCAAGGACCCCACAATTGTCACGCTAGATGGGAACCAAAATTGGTGCAATAGTAATCAAGACTGGAACACGCAGCCAAAAAAAAAAAAAAAAATGAGAATAGATATCTACAACAACAAACACTTCAACTGTCATCATTCTGGATTCCTGGATTGAAGCACAAAACCAAACATAAACATCCAAGACAATTTGGCAACTCCAGAAGCCAGAAACCCAACTGTAATTGGCCCTGAGAAAAGAAATTTAGATGAGGAAGAAATGACCACAGAATAGTAATTATGGGTATGTTCAAGTGTCATGAAGAAGATCTGAGTAAATGAATGCAATGAAGACACAGTCATTTGAGAAAATCAACAAGACTGACAATCCTTTATCCAAATTAACCAAAAGATGGAGAAAGAAGAGCTAAATCAATAAAATTAAAAATGAAAAGGAAGGCATTAAAGCAGAAACTAAAAAATTCAGAATCATAGTGACATATTTAAAAATTTTGTATTCTACCAAATTTAAAAGCCTAAAAGAAACGGATGACTTTCTTGAGGTATACAACCTATCAAAGTCACATCAAGATGACATACAAAATTTAAACAGATCCATAATGACTAGACACATAAAAGCAGTAATTAGCCAGGTGGTGGTGGTGTGTGGCTTTAATCCCAGCACTTGGGAGGCAGAGGCAGGTGGATCTTTGTGAGTTTGAGGCCAGTCTTATCTACAGAGCGAGTTCCTGATGACTAAGGATGTGGAACAGTTTTTAAAGTATTTCTTGGCCATTGTGTTTCATCTTCAGAGAAAGCTGTGGTTGGTTCTGTACCTCATTTTTCACACGGTTGTTTTCTTGTTCAGTGTTGTTTCTTTTCAGTTCTTTACATATGTTTGATACTAACCCTGCAGAGATGTGTAATTGGTAAGGATCTTTCCTCATTCTGCAGACTGCTGCTTTGCCCGATTGATGGTGTCCTTTGCCATACCGAAGCCTCTCAGCTTCTGAGGTCCCACTTACTAATTTCTGGTCTTCATGTCTGTGCTATCAGTGTCCTCTTCAGATAACCCTGCTCTGCACCAGTGAGTTCAAGCCCATTCCCCACCTTTTCTTCTGGTTCGTGGGCCTTTTGTTGAGGTCTTTGATCCGTTTGAAGCTGAGTTGTGAGTAGAGTGATAGATATGGATCTATTTGCATTCTTTAGTAAGCAACCATCCAGCTTGTCCAGCACTGTTTGTTGAAGATGCTGAGGTTTTTCCAGTTTGTACTTTTGGTTTCTTTGTCAAAAGTCAGAAGACCAACAATAATTGACTACAACTCTGAACAGCAAAGGGCACCATCATTGGAGCTAAGCAGTGGACTGCAGAAAACCCTTACCAATTACACAACTTACAAATGGTTCATATCTAGACTATTTAAAGAACTCAAAAAACTGAACAGCAAGGAAACAACCCATTCAAAAATGGGTACAGAAACAAACAGAAGGTTCTCTAAAGATGAAACACAAGTGGCTTGGAAATGCTTTTATCCTTAACCATCAAAAAATGCAAATCAAAACTACTTTGAGATTTCATCTTATCTCCGTGAGACTGGCCATGATTAATAAAACAAATGACAGAGCATGCTGGCCAGGATGCAGGGAAAGGGGAATGTTCAGTCGCTGCCGGTGAAGAGTGCAAACTGGTACAGTCACTGTGGAAATCAGTGTGGAGGTTCCTCGAAAAGCAGAAAAGCTATCAACACAAGATCTAGCTATACTACTCCCGGGCATATACCCAAAGGGCTTGTGCTGGCTAGTTTTATGTCAACCTGATACAAGCTGGGGCCTTTTGAAAAATCATATGAAACCTACTACTGTAGATGCTTCCATATATATGTGGAAGGAATTTAAATATATATTTTTCACGCACACACACACACACTTATATATGAAAGGAATTTGAAGGGAGTCACCATCTACTGGGGGGGTACAATGCCCACCTAGACACCTTATGCCACCAAGTAAAATCCCCAGTGCCAAGAATGTGTTGCATTTTTCTGAGTTGTTGACCAAAGGAGTCCCATGGAGTCCCGCAAACATCACAGGGTATTATCAAGGCTGTTAGTTGCTTTCCACAACCTGAAGGTAAGGCCCTATTGCCAGAAGACACAACTTACATATGTCGTTAAACATCTAGGATTCAAGCTGGTACTTAACTAAAAGTTTCACCTCTACCGTCTAGAGTTTATGGGTGCTGGAAGGTACTATGAACAACCCTAGAGGAGACTCATCCATCATCAACATCTCCCAGCCCTAAATCCTTCAACTTACAACTGTGACCTGCCCGCAAGCAACACTGGTGCAATACTGGCATAAACACAGGAGTAACACACCTCTTTCTAACTAGACTTAAGGCTCCTCTACGGCATGGAACCCATATGCAACACGGCTAAAGTGGCCAAGAGCCTGAGACTAGGTAGGTCATGAAACCTACAGAAGAGCCTGTTACCCTGCTGAGGAACATAGCAACAACATGACCCTGTTGAAATAACATGACTTCCACGGATCCCACAGGTCAGTACCTTGCTCGTCCCTCATCAGAGAATTAACACAGACTCACAACTGAACAAAGAGTGAGAGACTTCAGAGGACTCAGCCCTAAGTGGGATGTCCTGGTCAAACCCCTCCCCTCAAGGCTCAGGCATCTGTGGGGAAGAGGAGGCGGGAAGATTGTAAGAGCCTGAGGTGCTGGATGACTCCAAGGAAACATAGTCTTGCAAACACAGCAGGGCTGACGCACACAAGAACTCAGAGAGACCGTGAAATCATCTGAAGGCCTGCACAAGTTCAAACCAGACAGAAGTGGGCTCAAAGTCCCACCCCTAACAATACCTGCAGGAAGCAGGGAGATCATTTCCTCCAACGGAGTGTCTCTGGGTGTATCAACCACACTCTGGGGCTGGCCCCATGCTCGGGAGTAGCACAAAATGAACTCCATGGCTTTTGTGGGCTTTTTGTTTTATTTTTTTTCTTGTCAATGATTATTTGCTTGTTTATTTTGATTTTTGTTTTTTGGAGTTTTGATTTGTTTGTTCGAGAGACCATGGAGTTGTTTGGGGAGGAAAGTCGGGGGGCTCTGAGAGAAGCTGAGGGAGGAGAAGGAATATGATTAAAATATATTGTATGAGAAAATTATCTTTTATGCACTGAGGGAGAGACCTTGGAACACCTGGCCCTAAAAGGAATGTTTCCACCAAATCAGGTTTCCACCAAATCAGGGTTCAGAGAACTGAGGAAGGGGGGAAGAAAGACTGTAAAAGCCAGAAGGGGGACATCAAGGAATCAAGGCCTTCTGGATACAACAGGCTGGTACCCATATGAACACAGACTGGATTAGCATGCACAGGTCCTGCACAGGTCTGCATCAAATGGGGTGGGTCCTAGAGCTGAGAGAAACAGATACATGCCCTCACCCCTAACCCAGAAATCATATCCAATTTGATAGCCACTTGCAAATGAAAAATTAATTTTCTCTAAGGGCATCTCACTGGGGATACAAACCACTCCTAAGGGCAGGCTCCATGCCCAGCCGTAGATGCCCAACACACAATGCACTCAACAGCATCTTCGGAAGTTCGTTGTTTCATAATGTTGCCAAGGCACTTTTTTTTTTTAACCTTACAGGTCCTTTGCACACATATTATGGCTTCTGGTTTTGGGTTTTGATGGGATTCCTGTGTGTGCCTACTTTTGTGTGTCTGAGTCTAGATGTGTTTCTTGTGCTTTTTCTTTGGCTCTTTTTACATCTGGTTATTCGGTCATACTCTACTCTGATGTTTGTTTTTTATTTATCTTACTGTATTTTACTTTATTATTATTCTTCAGTTGCCTGTTGGTTTTTTAAATGAGAGACAGAAAGGGTGTGGATCTGGTTGGGAGGAAAGGCGGAGAGGAACTGGGAGGAATAGGGAGAGGGGAAACTGTAATCAGAATACATTGTATACAAAAAATCCATCTTCACTAAAAGAAAATGTTTTTAATTTTTAAAAAAATTGAGAAAAAAATATATATTCAGTATATTACAATTTAATGTGAACTCCGTATGGCCCTGCTTTTCTTGTTTGGGTAGTAGAAGGAGAAAACAGACAAATTAAAACCACCATCGCCTGTCGGTCTCCCAACACTCATTACTGATACGCACCGGGAGATGGGTGAGTCACACAGCAGTCTTCACAGACCACCTAGGTGGGCAGGGGAGACCTTGCTGGACCGTGGTGCACACCAAATTATAGGAAGCAATACTTAACTTTGAGAGAAATACTAGACTTTGGGCTGCTTAAAGGTGAGTTTTTTTTCACACCAGAATCTAGCAAACTGTTGTATTAAACATAACCAACTATGTGTTTTCTTCCTGCTTAGAGTCGTTGTTCTTCACGGATCATTTTTTCTTGTGGCACTACAGACTGAAGCCGAGGCCTCATCCATGGTAAGAAAGAGTTCTGCCACTGAGGTACATCTCTATCTTACGTCATGTATAGATTTCCAACACTTGTCGCACACCCTCTGGTAAGGGCAGAGATAAACAGAATTAAGCAGGCCGGCTGAAATAGGCCACCGTTCAGTGGGAAGGAAACTGGTGTGTCTCTATTAGCTTTTGTTCACTAAGAGCTGGCTGAACAAAGGAAACGCTGCACTTCCTGAAAGGGAAGCAGGGGTTCGCGGTTTAATTATGCAGATAACGGGGTTCCCTTCCCTCCTCAACAGACCTTAGTGGGACTAGCTACAGATCTGATCCCCTTGGGTTTGGATGGGGGAACACGGCTGAAGACTATAGAAGGCGCAGTGAACGCCTCTAGCATCTATACTTATCTCAAAATCTGAGGCAGGAGGATGGCTTGAGCCTAGGAGTCTGAGACCAGCCTGGGCAACATAATAAGACCCCACCCAGAAGCAACCTCTGGAAAGATGAGGTCAGCTTTCTGGGATGGCTTGCTTCTCCAAGATAATATCCCTTTTCAAACTCCACTAGCAACTGATCCTGTGATCATATTTTCTGGCTTATGAAGATGATCGGTTAAACACAGACTTGTGTAATGATCTGTATTTAGAGATGAACAGAGGTGGAATTACAGAAGAACCCAGTCTACCTGTACATCATAAGATGCATTATGATTATAATCATACTATGCCTCTAATTTTGCGGGGGGGGGGGGCAGTTACCTGATTATTTACTTTCACCATGTCCCCAATTCTAGAATACTCGGTGTGAGAATCATTTTTAGAAAATAAAAAGTTGTGTACATCTTCAAGACGTTTGAAAGACTTGTACATGGCCTGGGTTTTTAGCTCAGTTAGGTAGCGTGCTTGTCCAGTATGTGTGAGGCCCTGGATTCGAACCTTCGGGGCTAAGAGGGAACACACAAAAGTTTACAGATAAATTGTAAGCACTAGCTGAGGAGGTGGAAAAGAAGAAGGTGTCGGTAGTCTCAGCGACTAAGAGCTTCCCTTCCCCTTAAAGCCAAATTTTTCCAGAAACCAGCTAAGTAAACGCTTCGTAGCCTCCAACAAAGGAAAATTAATTACTCTAACGTTCACGGGACATTATCAAAGAATAAAGGGAGAAGCAAAGTGATTTTACAAGCTAGGCTTCTGTGTATTTCTAGGAATAAGGTTTGATAGGAGGAAATACCAAGGCTGCACTTGTGAACGAGCTTTCTCTTCCCGACGGCGGGGTGCTGCTTCCACGCGAAGCTGAGCTCTCCCATCTACTTACTTTCCTAAGGCGCCGGTCAAGTTCACGCGTGGAAACGCGGCCCAGTGGTGGCCAGCAGCATAAAGCTTGTTATTGACGGCCGTTGCTGATTGTCAGAAAGATTTCTTTTCGGGAAGCTACAAACTTATGTCGCAACGCCGAGTTTCCAAAAGTCCCAAACCTGAACTCCACTTCTGAGCCTATATGAGTCCCGTCACTCGGCCACGCCCGCTCCAGGTGCCCGCCCGGGTCGTGGGCCACCTGTGCTTCGGGGTCCTTACCTCTGGTCGGGTCTGGCTGGCACGGGGGAGACGAGTGGGGAGCCTCAGCGGACACGGCGAGGCCGGCCGAGCATCCCGCGTCTCGCTGCTGATCGCCCGCGTCCCGCGCCCTGCACCCTCCCGGACCCTCCCGGTCCGCCTGGGACCACGCCCCGAGGCGGGCTCTCGGAGGGCGGGGGTCAAGCGCTAGAGGTCCGCCCTGCCCCCACTTCTGGGCAGAGCATCTTCCTTTCCTGCCTGTCCCTAGCTTGCCCTCCAGCCATCAGGCAGGAAACTTGCAGGAAACCCTCGGCCCAGAGGCCCTGTGAGGAGGTGTGGTCGCCGCCCGTGCGCGGTCACCCAGCACATACTTAACACCCATAGCCCGCCTCTCACTGCCTGCTTTAAGGGCAAGCCAGCAACATATATATTCTCATTCTCTCTCTTCTCTCCTCTCCCTCTGTCTCTGTCTGTCTCTCTCTGAACATGGGTGATCTGTAAATTTGCTTCCCCAAATATCACCGGAGTTTCAAAAAAAAAAAAAAAAAATACACTTCAGGTAAAGTGCATCCCCTCTTGTCTTCCTCTGGAGACAAACTTGGTATTAATTAAATTAAAAACCAACATTTTAAAAAGTCTATTCTGAAAATGTTATCTTTCTAAAAGAACTGGATAAGTTTCACATGGGTTAACAGCTGTGCTTGTCATTCGGTGACGGGCAGAGAGTTTTCTTTTACATAAAATGAACCACTTCCCAGACAAAATTCATGGTAATACAAATAAGATCAGAGCCTCCAGAGGGTCAGCACCCAGCAAGCGGTATCAGGAAATCCCGGAGGAGCCCAGCATGTTAGGACGGAACTGTATCAACTTACTGTGCAGCTGTCAAACACCTGCAACTGGAAGTGGTGCACATGAGTAATCCCAGCAACCGGGGAAACTGAGGCAGGAGGATTTAAAGTACCTGGTCAGCCTGGGCTACATAAATGAGACCCTGTATCTCTGAGAGTGGGTGGTGGGAATGGCAACACAGATCAGTGGTGGAGATCTTGCTCAGCAAGTGTGACCAGATGAGGGGAAGCAGGTATTTGTTTATAATTTTTACCTAAATTTCTTAACGTTTTAAAATGTCACTTGCCGAATGTTGATCTTAAAAGACAGCACATTTAAAAGTAATCAGAGTTCAAGTTCATCTAAGAACAAATCAGCCAAGTGTGCGAGGAAGCTTCAGGGTTGTCTTCTTTTCACTGCTGTCAAAATTCTCTCCTCCACTCAAGCTAGGACTCCTTTCAAATGCATGCCATATAGTCTCTGGTACTCTTGGTTTAGAAAAACAAAGGTCCAAAGAGGGCCTGTGATAGCTCTGCAGATAGTCTTCCTACCAAGCCTGCTGATCCCACCTTTTCTCTGCTATAAAAGGTATATAAAAGTTTTGTGGCGGGGGGAGGGGGGGGAGGGGTTGGGGGTGGGGGCTGGAGAGATGGCTCAGTGGTTAACAGCATTGCCTGCTCTTCCAAAGGTCCTGAGTTCAAGTCCCAGCAACCACATGGTGGCTCACAACCATCTGTAATGGGGTCTGGTGCCCTCCTCTGGCCTTCAGGCATACACGCAGAAAGAATATTGTATACTAAATAAATAAATAAATGTTTAAAAATAAATAAATAAAATCTGGAAAAAAAAAAAAGCTAGATTTTATCCGGGCGGTGGCGGCGCACGCCTTTAATCCCAGCACTCGGGAGGCAGAGGCAGGCGGATCTCTGTGAGTTCGAGACCAGCCTGGTCTACAGAGCTAGTTCCAGGACAGGCTCCAAAGCCACAGAGAAACCCTGTCTCGAAAAACCAAAAAAAAAAAAAAAAAAAGTTTTTGTGGGGCTTGAGAGAAGCAAAAAGGCACCTTGTTATGTATTAACCTTTCCAAATACACTCTTGCAAAAAAAGAAAAAATTATCACCCTTTGGGTGTGACTTAGATCTTCCATACATTTTAAAAAAGCAGCTTTATTGAAATGTTTTGCCATTTTTATATTAATCATAGTTCATGACAAACTGATTGTCCTGGCTAGTTTTATGTCAACTTGGTACAAGCTAGAGTCATCTAAGAAGAAATGTCAATTTTAAAAATGCCTCCGTAAAATCAGCAGTAGGCAAGCCTGTAGGGCACTTTCTTAATTAGTGATTGATGGAGGAGGGCCCAGCCTATAGTGGGTGAGCCATCTGTGGGCTGGAGGTCCTGGGTACTTTAAGAAAGCAGGTTGAGCAAGCCATAGGGAGTAAGCCAGTAAGCAGCACCCCTCCATGGCTTCTGCATCAGCTCCTGCTTCCAGGTTCCTGCCCTGACTGCCCTCAGTGGTGGACTGATATTAAAATAAGCATTTTCTTCCCCATGTTGCTTTTGGTCAAGGTGTTTTATCACAGCAATAGAAACCCCAACTAAGACATTGTATTACAGTCTTTATTAGCGAAATCAGATAAAATCTGAAATAAAGGCAATATAAGAGGAAGGAAACTCTTCTTGAAGGACAATGGGATGATCTCTGGACTGAACTCAACCCGGCTTTTAACAAGCACTGACTTCTGGCTGGGAATGCAGCTCGGTGAAAGAGCCCTCAGCCCAGCACATGCAAGGCCCAGGATTCTAACTCCAGAACACTGAACTCTTTCTGAGTCAGCAGCTCTTCTAGTGACCTGTGAAACTGTAAAATGTATACACTTAGTAACCATCTGTATACAATGTTCTTATTTTAATAAGCAATGGTCTGGAAATCATAAGTCAGTGGTTTCACATCAGGACACAAAGAAGAGCGTAAATGACCCAATTTTCACACTCTAACAACAGCTTGTGAAAGCAAGATCTTACATGTGTGCAATCTGACTTTTCAGGAGTGCCTCCTACATTCTAAGACCTATGGCTCATAGCTTAGAATTCGAGTAAGACAGGTAGATTTCAGACAGGCTGAGCTGGTTAAGTCTCCTAGAAGGAGGGGACTGTTAAGCCAAAAGGCATTTAGTGAAGTTAGCACTCAATTAGAAACATGCTGTGTATGTTGAACGATGTAGGACAGTAAGGATTTAAAGGAATTACTACACGCTGACTGTAGGCTGTGAGCGAGGGAAGTCCTGAGTGAGTGTGTGTCTTGGCATGGGCACAGCCTGTGGAGGACTCCAAAGCTAACTGGCAAAGCTGTTGCCTATTATGAGTCAGGCTCAAGAGGAATGGCAAAGTTTTCCTTGGGAGCCTGAATATGAGTATTTATGAATGACTGGTTAGTGTGTGCAAAGACTAGCAACTGCAGTTTCCTCTTCCTGAGACCTCACCTGCAGAGATGAGACTGGCAAATCCTCCCCATGTTAGTAAACACGCTGAGGCTCGTGGTGTGGCCCATACAGGGGACTGTTATCCAGCAACAAAAAGAATATGGAATTGACTTGAGTTCTCCATGGACTGGCTGCAGGATGGGGATGTTGAGTTAACAAGAACAAGACAAAAATCAAGTCAAACTTAGGATCACATTTATAGAAAACTTTACAAAATGCAGACTCTTGTAATGGTGACAGAAAGAATCAATGGTTGGTGAGGAAACGGGACGAGGAGGGGAAGAGTGGCCACACAAGGCAGAGAATAAAGTAGCACGAGAAAAATATTTGGGGGCAACTACAATATGGCTTCCTAGTTGTATGCATGACTAGTTCAAAACAACAAATTCCATACTCTACACTGGGCAGCTTATTGAGTATCAGTTACATCTCAAACTGTTAGGAAAAACCTGTGAGGATGGTAAAAACAGAACCAGACAATTCTTTGAGGAGTTATGCCAACAGGCACAACATGTCTCATCTCAGTCTATGGGCCACACGTGCCCTGGGAGAGCCATGAATTAGTCCTGCTACTCAACACTGTTGTCCTGAGACCAGTTCATGGAGATCTTGGGTCAGTGGCATATTCTTTTTTCGTTGCTAGGTAATTGTATTTGTCAAACCACAGTTTGACTATTTGCCTGTAAATCAACAGATTAAAGCCATGAACCTAATGAAAAAACAAACATACTGAAGTTGAGGTTCTGGTAGTGGTTGGAGTGCCCCACCTGATCCAGCTTCGCTCCACATGCTGTCTGTGTAGGTGTGCCCTTTTATTGTACACGTTATCTGTGTGTGTATGTCTGTCCTTTCTTCATTCCCTCCCTACCTGACCCTGGAGTCTTACACAAGCCACATAGGATGTGGCAACTGACCAACTCTGAAATTAAAGAAAGTCAGCATTTTCTTGTGGCCTCAAAGCAACAGTTAAAATTACAAAACAAAATAAAATTAAATACATGAAGCAGACAGTAACTTTCACAGGTTAAACAGAGCAATCTCAAAAAAAAAAAAAACAGCAATCTCTACAGCAAACAGGTTTTTCTAGGGCAGGTGGGAGGGGGCAGGTGTGGGATGACTTAGGTTATTGTGGGCGAGCGGAAGTCAGTAAGGAAAGGAAGTCTAGGCAGACCAAGGCACAGGCCAGCAACAAGGACCTCTTCGCGCTCAGCCCTGCCTCTTCCACTTACTGACAGTTTCTGTCTTTTGAGACTGGGTTGTCTTTATCCAAGTCTTGTACAAAGCCTCCGGAGCTTACCATCAAAACAGAGGACTCCAGAGACTAACCAAGAGCACTAACAACAGTGCATAATGTTTGGGGGTCAGTGCTACCTCATTGCCAACAGCTCCAAAAGAGGAAACCCATTCTCGGCACCAGGGTTTTCATTTGTTGTTCTGTGGTGGTTGCCACACACCTGAATCATAGGACATAGAAATCAAGCTGGAACTCAGAAGCTCCATCTCTATTTCTGTAACACGGGAGGGGTGTATGCATGCTACCTGAGGAGAAAAGGAATCACCAATCTTACTCTCTTATGAACCTTGAGAACTGTAACAGTTATTGGCCTGGAAAGACATGTCAACTCTTATAATAGTGGCACAAATGTCACGGGAGTAACCAATCACTTTCTGATTGATTTTAAGGCCTGCTGTGAAACTGAAGCCTACAGTCACAGCTTGGGGGAGAAGCTACCACTGTTCCTGTACTTGTGGACATAGTATTAAACTAGTCCTAATGACTCAGCACTATACCCACAGATTAGCACAGCTCTCAACCCTCATCAGAGAAGCTTCTTTTTAAAGTAGATAACAATTAAGAACCCACAACCGTAAAGGCGCAGAGACTAAGGAAGCGTGGACTTCTCAGCCTAAACGTGACATCTGGATCACATCTCCTCCCAAGACTGTGTGGGATCACAGCAGAAGGGCGGCTGGAAGACTGTAAGAGTTGGAGGCAGTGGATGACTAGAAGGACAGTGATCTCTGGAGACAGCAGGGTAGTGAGTGCACACAGGAATTCACGTCAGTTGAGTAGGTTAAGCACCAGACCTCACAAGCTCAAGCCAACCCTCAGCAGGGGAATGGACATGAAATCCCGCCCCTACTAGGAAGCAAACTACAGCTGCTGGGAGGAGTCAGTTTTCCTTTAGGGCGTGGCCCCTTAAGGCCCACACATATCCAGGAGTATATGGGGAGCAGAACTACTTCATGGGTTTTAAGAGAGAAGTATGAGTGGGCAGTGAAGGAGGGGAGCAGATGGATCTGGGGGTACAAGCGGGTGATGAGGATCAAAATCCATTGTATGGAGTTCTCATAGGGCTAAGAAAAATAGAAACTACAGACCGTTTAGACGGTTCCTTCAATCAGGTGTGAGGGTTCACTCCTGCGATCCCTGCCTTCAGTGAGAGTTGTTTCCACTGCTGTTTTCCTAAGATGTTACTTTCTTCTCAGAGTTTAAAATCCCTATGTATTCTAGAAAAGTCATTTTAACTAAACTGAATGAGAGTTTAAGTAAAGTGAAGTGAAGCCTAGTTATCAATAAGTGTGTGTGTGTGTGTGTGTGTTACATAGATGGATGGATGGATGGACGGATGGATAGTTAACTATATAGACAGACACAATTTATTCAGTAAATATTTACTGAATGCTTACTGTGTGCCAAACCTTGTTCCAGACTCTGGGGAATAGATCCACGAACAAGCCAGAAAAATCTGTCCTTGTTAAGCTTGCACTCTAGGTCTACCCTAAAAGGAAGGATATGTAACAAACTTACATAAATCCAACTATATCTCCTGGCAAGTAGGGCAAAGCACACATTCCAACAGTGTGAGTATTGTTAGAAGTCCACTGTTGGCATGTGCAGCATCACAGATCGTGTTTACTGTATGCAGAACAGATCTATACCTCCATACATTCCCCAGGGGCTCACAATGCAGGACCACAGGAGGAACTCCATCCGCCATTTAGAGACTTTTCAAGGGTCGTTTTGAGCATGCTTTATTTTGACCTCAGACAAAGTTTTAAAAACCTAGCCTCCTGACAAGATGTGAACCCACTGTACCGAGATGGAGATGCGGAGGTTGTTGGGCAAAAGATAACCTTCTTAAACATGGTGTGTGTGAAACTGGTCAGCTTAGTCTAGTGACCGGGCACACGTGGTAACCCACCCACGTGAATGTACACAGCTGGCCTTATGAGATCTGAATCATACATAGCTCATGACTTGTTTCCCACTTTTTAAGATAACAAAATTACAAAACTTCAAAGACAACTCATAAGCAATGCTTTATAATCTAGAAAAATTCTCATACTGGCTTAGTGTGACTAAACATTTATCATTTTCATGTATTTTACAGAGAATTTTAAAAAGAACACCAAGTTAAGAAAATTAGTTTTAAAGTTTCACAATAATTTGACTCTATCTACATTAACACCGATCATCTAACCCTGGAAACGGCCTTTGATTACATAATGTAAATTATTTTTCTTTACATAACTAAACTATTCCATTGTAAATTTACAAAGAGACTCATTCTCCTAAGAGCAACGTGAGAACAAAAATTACAGTGATGAGCACCAAAGCAGAACATTTTTGCACCTAGGTTTGATTGGTTTGTATTTAAAGACAGCCTGCAACAAAAGGACCAGAACAACACATTTGGCAAGAAAAAAAGTCAAACAGATAAACCAAGATCTGGAAACAGTGATTGAAAAATAAATTTTTTTTTAGTTAATGTGACTTTTTCAAAGTATATTTATGTCACTTTTCATCTTTCATTCACATTCTACAAATCAGATTGCTCCATTTTTGTTGATCGGGTGTCACACTGAATAAACAAATGTATTTTGTGTTTGTTGTGATGAATCCAAACCATTAGAGCTGGATTCAGCAGCTCCTATAACCCAATAACCTCACAACCAACCCAAGTGGTAGGGCTGATGATCAGTAACCTGCTGACTTAAAGGCCCTCAGTCAGATAAGGAGTATGTGTGTGTGTGTGCGCGCGCTCGAGCGCGCGGAGAAGTCTGCCAGAGTCACGTGACAGACTACGTGCAGTCCAGATAGCGGTGAGACATACTAACAGACACGATGGTCTAAACAATTCCTAGACGATTTGGTAGCCAACACTGAATTAACCATAAAGTAAACCTGAGATAAACAATGAGGTGATCAGGGGAGATGTCACCATACTTGAAATTAAGTGACAGATTTGAAAACCACACTGAAGGAGGCTGCCTTGGCTGCAGCGTTCTCATTAATACTGCAGGACAGAAGCAGTGGGCAGTCACTTCCCAGGAAGGGATCAGGAGTGGGGTTCCCTGGTTTGCAGCTGAAGACACTGGCACTTCTCCACAGCCATGCAGTGGCCTCAACTCATCTGCAAGGCACCCTCAAGCGACTGTGTGTCTGGGCACCCTCCCTGTAGCTCCCGGGCGACACTGTCCCTCCCCTTCCTCTTCCAGCTAAGCTTCAGAAAGGACTGACTCCCTGAGTCTGAGGTAATGCCAACGTGCAATCCATAAAGTCAGGCAACCTACTTAACTCCAGCCATCTAGAGATGATAACACCAGTTTTTTTCTTTCTTTCTTTTTTTTTTTTTGGTTTTTCGAGACAGGGTTTCTCTGTGGCTTTGGAGCCTGTCCTGGAACTAGCTCTGTAGACCAGGCTGGTCTCGAACTCACAGAGATCCACCTGCCTCTGCCTCACGAGTGCTGGGATTAAAGGCGTGCGCCACCATCGCCCGGCAACACCAGGTTTTGCTATCAAAAACTTTCCTTTTTCTCTGATGTTTCCTCCACACAACTTAAAATATGTAGGGCGTGAAGAAGGGCAAATGGCTGGACTACGATAGTAATGTCTCTAGTTGAGCGTTGGGACTCCTTGTGAGGAGAAAGGAGATCTGCCAACCTTCCTGTTTCACACCCTTGGCTTCCAGAAGAAGAGCACTTAAGGTCCTATGCAGTTAATGCCTTTCCAGAACTGTCCAACTCTCAGACTTGTACTTACAGCTCTGGGTGTGTCTATATAGCTCTTTCATTCAGTGTCCAAATCCACATTTCTTAAACAAAATCATACTGCTGGAGTCTTTAAAAATGCCAGTCATGAAATTATCACTTAAAAACTACAAAGAATCTGAGGAGTAAGTGCTTAACAATTTCTCCCCCCCCCCCCATTATTGGGGTGGTTGGTCTGAAATCAAAGGCCTCTGTATTCTAGGCAAATGCTCGCCAAGTAAGCTAGACCCTAGCCTTTTTAAAGGTGTTTTATCTGACCGGGGAGAGATATACCTAGGTCTGCTTCCCAAGCCCCGAGGAAGCGCCTGGCAGGCACTCTGCAATCCGACCTTCTATTCCAGTGCTATTGGTTCTTGAACTACAGTGTAGCTATTGCTTCCTTCATGAATGCCCAAGATGGGCATGTCAGATGCAGAGAAAAACATTCACAATTTGGTGAAGTTTAGTCACAGAAAAAATGATTACCTTATGGATCCAAACATGCAACTTTACTTCTTCTCCCCCTGAGGATCTAAATTCAAGAATCAAATTAAAATCCACCATGTTTCAAGTGAAATCCCAGGAGTTCTACACAAGTACAGCATGACTTTAAATGCATATCCATTCACTGTTCTGTCTTTTCCTACATGTAAATATACTTCTGAGACCATAATTTTAGGGAAAGAGTAAGAGTTTTATATTATCCTGTGAAGTTCTAACAAATTCTTGGTTTATTTGTGTTCATCGCTTAACTCAATGTCATCTGACCTTGGCACGATGCCAAGTGTATTGACAAAGGTCTATCAGATACAAAATTCTTAGTTCTGTGTCATAAATAAATTTGGGTAGAACCGCAAGCCTTCCACGGAGTCATCTCGGCAAAGATGGCCCATCTTCTCAGCGAGAAGCAGCCTGGGAACAAAGAAGAGAAATCCCACAATGACCTGCTCATCCAGAAACATACCACACAGCACAGTGAGGGCGCGAGGGCTTACATACCTTTCTTTAGCTAGGAGGACAGACATCCCCACAAGTTTGGCAAACTCTTCTGAGGTTAAAGATCCCCTTTCTGAAACCTAGTGATAACACACAGCAGAAAACAAACAAGACAAAACACCAACAACCATAATTATTTCACTACACTGAGAGGAATGCACACCAGTGCAGGAAGGAAATGCTTTACTGGGTTTTCTGCTAAAATCTAAATAGTCACTGTAAAACTAGACCTTCCTGTTTCTAGATTTATCTTTATGTGGTGAGTGCTTCGCCTGCAGAGATGCCCGGTGCCCACAGGGATCAAGAGGGGTGGGATCTCCCAGAACTGGAGCTACAGATGGTTGTGAATTACCATGAAGGTTCTAGGAACTGCTCCTAGGTCCTCTGCAAGAGCAAGTGTTCTGAACCACTGGTCAGCCCTCTAGTCCAGCAGACCTGAATCTAGAGAGCTCAAGTCTAGGAAAGTTGATGGGCTCAGAACAGGCAGAGCACAGGCTATATACCAACATGAAGCTGTTCATGGAAGAAGGCACTGTATGAAAGACCAGAGCACAGCAAACTCTGTGTGTCACAGGCTCTGGTAAGGGGCCCACAGAGTTCTAATCAGGTCCAGTTAAGGATGTGACTTGAAAACCTATTCCTACCGCTGAGCTGCACCGGGAAAGCAAGCACCTCATTAAGATGTCAAGGGAGACAAATACTTCAAAAACCTTTACTATGGATGCTGGTTGAATGAAAACATCACTGTCTACCACAAAGCACTGATCCTGTGAATGGCTTTCTAGCTAAATCCAACAGCGAATCCTGCTTCTTAAGTCGCTATGCATTTGGGTCTTTGTGGCAAGCTCTAAGGACTGACGGAAACGGGATTCACATACTGTCTCCAGGGCTGAGGCCACCATCTCCTCTTCTTTGTGGGTTTGAAGCTCAATTACCATGACACCACTGTCAAAAACCCGAAGCCTGGAAAACACAGATGTGAGAACAGTGTGGGTATTTCTAAGATGTTCAACCACAAAGGAGAAGCAAGCCACAGTCGACTTTACTTAATGCCCAGGCCTGAGGACAATCACACAGTGTTTAAGCCATAATAACTACATGTAACTATAACAGAATTAACTCAAGAATTAACAGACAATAAAACTATGGGCCACAATCTACATGATAGAGTTTTTTCCAGTTCAGGGTGCTTTTAGCCCAAGGATAAGGAGAATGCAGTTATGAGTTGAAGATGTGCACCGCGGGAGGTTCAGAGGTGAATTCTTCTGAGTTTCCTCTCGGAAATCACAAGTCTGAATATGATCTGTACTAGGACACACCCATCCCTGATAGGATGAAGGCTGGAGGGCAGAAGATGCTTGCAGTATGGGGGTGGGGGGGAGAACTCGGGGTCGCACATGGCACAGCCTCAAGAGGGCATCATCTGGCTTGCCATGCACAGTAGCAGGCTTGGGTGGCTTTCGGGTGTCCTCTAGGCAGAATCATAGCTCCAGTTGACAAACTTCCTGTGGAGATTCCTTTACCTGACAGGCAATTTCAGCGCCTCCAGCATCTTGCATGCATTCACTAAATCTTCTGGTGAGAGCAACTAATGAGGAAAAAAAAAACAGTTAACAGTGCAAAGCAATAGAATGGGTCTATAGAACTGTAATAACCACCAAAACAGAATAGGAAGTCAATGGCATATGACCCAGAGAGCTCTGTACCCTACAGAGCTGCACCCTTGTTTATTGCTGTTTTATTCACTAGAGCAAAGACCTAGCTGTCCATCAACAGATGAATGTATAATGAAAATTTATATATATTGTATACACCCACATATATGGAATATTACTCAGCTCTAAAGAAAAATAAAGTCAAAAATTACAGAGAATGGATAATCTTAAAATGTATAATATTAATTGAAGTCATATATTCTCAAGAAAAAAACTTCATGTTCTCTCTGACATGTGGAGACTAGCCAATAATGTGTGAATGTGAGTGTGTGTGTGTGTGTGAGTGTGAGTGTGTGTGAGTATGTGTGTGTGTGTGCAAAGAAATGTACGCGTGGGTACAGAATGTAACAGAAAGAAGAGAACAAAAAGGCTAAATACAAGGGGCTGAAGAACTGAATGTCGGTGATGGACACAGGGTATGCAAGAGGATTTTTAAAAAAGCTATTTTTCTAGCTATTATTTTGTCATAAAATTTTTGGTTTTGATGGTAGATAAGTATATAAACCATGATTCTGAAAGTGTAAATTTAATGTGAAGCCTCATAGCTTCCATGCCATTTCTAACTATAAAGACGTTTGTTGAGTTGTACAGACTTTGGGTCTGGTTAGTTTTGGTATGTGACATTTTTATTTCCAAGGTTTTTTTTTTTAATAATAAAGTTTAAAAACTTATAAAGTAGAAGAAAATGCTATTCATCAAGTACTATAGGTCACTCAATTTCAAGGACAAAAGAATAAGCAAAGAAGCCAAAGTCAGCTTTCGGCAGTTCTGCCCAATAGAAACACAGTGCAGGTCACTGCATGACCTCACAACCTCCAGTACCCACAGGGAAAGAGAAAAGGGAAGGAGCTGGGAGTGCAGCTGAGGAGTGGAGTTCTCGCCCATGTAGAAGGCCCTGGGCTCAAGCTCCAGCGCTCTAATAAATAGTAACAACAAAAACGTTTTCTGAGATACTGGCATGGATACTGACCTTTGTTTATCTTATACTTGTTTTATAGATTCAGACTGCTACGTGTAGCTACTAGTGGCTTCCGTTCTGGATAGTGCAGCCTGAATAAATCTGCGCCGTGGTAGACACAAGCATAGCTCTGAGTCACGTGGGATGGCTCCAGAGCCAGCTGAGCCTAAGTACAACACTTGTCAATCCACCATCTCTAGGTGGATCTAATCTACCCTCAATTTCCTCATCCCCAAGTTACCTGAAGGTGTACCTGAAGGGCGGTAAAGCAGGAGTGAGAGGCTAAGCGAGCTAACAGCTGGTGCTCGCCTCATCAACACTCGTGTGCTTGATGACAGGACGGGGATGCACTCTGGGACTTGGTGAGCCATATGGAAGAGGCAGCTTACCCAAGCTGCACTGGACTGCTGGGGCACCAAGAGCACCAGGAAAGAGTCTCAGAGGCCACGCACCAGGTGTGACTGGGATAGGGCCTAAAGAACAGCTCCTACTGATACTCAGCCAAAGGAGTAAGGAGAAGTTGTCTCTGCGCTATCTACCAAGAAATCTGAGTCCAGCTGAGCCTGCAAGAGTTAAATACTGCAGAGGAAAACCTTCCACTCATTGCAGTACACAGACCTCAGCGCTGGCAGGCACCGCTCACTGCAAACCTTTACTTTTAAGGTGACAAAACTGAGTTCCAAGGCAGTGAAGTGCACCACTCAAAGTCACTCAACAGTCGCAGGCAAAGCCAGCCCCAGGCCAATCCCGTTTCTCTCATCACGCTGCTTCTGCAAACAGCTTTGAGGTTCACAATCAATGTGTGCTCACTAGAGGGGGACCATGGAAACATGCGTTCTTACCTCCATCCCTCGAGCTCGGTTCACTAAACAGTACACCTCTGTGAGCGACATGATTCCCCCACGTTCCTGTTAAAATGGGAGAGAGAAAAAACAACAAGTATTTATCATTTCTTAACAGAAATCATAATCTGAGTGAAATCACAAATTACATGCTTTTTCCTAAAAAGTTGTATTTATACACAAGAGAGCCTATTCACATCCTCCACAATGCCTCGAATTCTACAAATGGACTTCAACATCGTTTAGATGAAAAGAGGGCAGCTGCACTCTTCCAAACTGTCCTTAGTCTCCTGACTGCAGACGTGATTCAGACTGAGAAAGACTGGAGAACTCGGGGGCCACACATCCGCAAGCCCTGGAAGCAAGAGGCCAGAGTAACACTGGCAGCCTGTTGACACAGGGTAAGCTTCAACACACATCACCTTGGTTAATTCAGGACGGTGGGATGAGGCAAAACCACATAAGAGGGACCAGAGCCTTGATAAACTGTGGCCATCAGTCCAGGATCAGACTCAGGAAAGTGGTGCCACAAATAAGCCTGGAGCCGCTCCCCTCACTGGCAAGTGCACGGGAGCCACGGCAGAGCTCTGGAGACCTGCTCCGACTCTTCAGCAGCAGAGCTGAGGAGAAGGCTGAGGGCACCGGGGCCTGCGCCGTGGTGGCTTGAAGCCTCTTAGAGGAAGGCTCACTAAACGTTAACAAATTTTTATGTTTATTTAATGTTTTAACTAATTTCTGTTAGTAAAGGAAGAAAGTATAGAAACAAGTGATACCATAATTTTGCAAGCCCTAATGAAATAACATAATCATATTTTGTAGTAATGACCGTCAAGGGCTGCTAACTATGTATCTAGCTATGTATATGTGTGTGTATACAGAGAGGCAGACAGACAGATACTACATACCTACTGACAGAAATGTACAACATCCCCTATAAAATATTCTTGTTATAAAAAGCTGCTATTTATAACAATTGACAGAGAACGTGTAGAATGAGAAACATGTTAATACCACGGAGTCAGTCAAACTACCAGTTTCTCCCCGGAGAAGTTGGGATTAAATAAAAACGAAACAAAACACAACTTGGGGCTGGAGCTGCAGCTTAGGCGGACATGCAGATTCCTATGTTTGACCATCAGCACAGAAAACTAAAAACTAAACATATGAACACAGACCAGACATGTGACATTAAAGGTTTCTAGTGTTTTAGGTGAAACAGTGAGTGATACTGATACTGCAGCTGTGTTTAAATTAGTCTAGTATCATTACAGGTATTAGAATATTTACATACAAGATGATCAGCTTTAAAACAATTTACTGATGAAGATAGGTGATGGACACACAATGATTTGCACTTAGTTTAGCATATATTTAAAATACACCAAAAAAAGTGCTTTATGAAAGTATACTACAAAACTATTAGCAGGAACTATAAAGACTAGATATGGGGCCAGGCACAGTGGTATGTGCCTTTATAGCCAGAACTCAGGAAGCAGAGGCAGGTGGATCTCTCAAGGCCAACCTGGTCTGCACGGTGAGCTCCGTGACAGTCAAGGCCGTGTAGAAAGATCCTATATAAAACAAACAAATAAAACCCAAATCCCAAACAAAGAAACAACAACAAAAACAAAACAATAAAACCTAAACATAGCCAGATATGGTGGTTCACGTCTATAATCCCAGCCCTTAGAGAGGCAGGAGAATGGTGAGTTCAAAGCCAGCCTGGGCTGCAAAATGAGTTCATGTTTTAAAAACAAACAAAAATACAGACTAGAGAGAAATATGTTTATAAAAGGAAAGATCCTTTGAAATCAGGAAAAAGTCTCATCAAACAGACTTAATGAAGTACAAACATCTGAAATGGAAATTAAAAGTAGTTTTGAAGATTACAATTAAAGATAATTAATAAGTATACTTAAGCCAATTTAATATTCCTGGAAGAAAAAAAACCATGTCATTTAATGCAAACCACATGATGAAAACAGTTAGGCTCTTGAGACTTCTGATGACATGGAAATAATTTAGCAGTGTTTGGAAAGCAGGGGTTTGGATTTACCTACCTCTAGCGGTGCCTGCAATATTCCAGCCAGCTGTTTGGCCAGCTGCATGTGGTACTGCGTGCCTGAGCCATAGGTCTCCCGGGTAACTGGGTTGGCTATTCCCATACTCAGCAAGTAGGACTTAAACCTGATGGTCTGTAAGAGGGTGGGAAAAGCATCAGCAGACTAGAAAACAGTTTCTCCGCACAACACTTGAAACTCTTCATCATAAGCTCAATGGGCACCGTTATTTCTCTAGATAGCCATGTCTTCTATGCTGTGGACTTCAGCGGCGAGCGTCTTAGTTGTTCCTTGAAAAAAATCTAGTTATTCTCATCCTTCTGCCCCAGTCTCATGCTGTTCATTCTCAACGTTTTATGTGAAAGAAAGGCAGTAACTAAGCTATTTTTAATGCTAACCAAATACTACAACTAAGAACTCACAAAGGAAAAACGGATCTGACCAGATTGGCCAAACTTAACACGGCAGACAGCACAGATTTGTATGGACAAATGGAAATGGTTTGGATTTTCACTATCATTGCTGACGCTGGGGGAGTTTGGGAGTTCCTAAAAGGACAGTCACTTTTAGGATTTCCTCTGTGTCTATCCAAGAGCTAACCTATCACAGGTCCCCATAGAGCACATGGCTGGGGTGGGTGTGTCTGCGATGACAGATGACAGCTACTCTGCGACTCTTTAGACATTTCAATAGCTTTACTTCCTACACCGTAAGAAAGAACACAGAATAATCTTGACCCTTGTAGAACTAGCGAAAAAGAATATGATCCAATTTCTCCTTAGCACTTCACACGCAAGCAATAAAAATGTCACCCTAAGAAAGCAGGGCCAGTGAGATGGCTCAGTGCGCAACTACACTTGCCACCTGAACATCTGAACTCAGTGCCCAGGATCTGCATTCAATCCATGGTAGAAGGCGAGAATCAGTTCTTCTGAGTGGTCCTCCGTCCACCACCTGAATGCTGCAGCACAGCTCACCCCAATAAGGAAGTAAGTGTAATAAAAAAAAAGTTTGGAAGGCAGCAAATGTGAGAAGCTGCAGGCGTAGCTCAGTAGGAGGGAGAGAGAACTGGTCAACCACAGGGAGAGAGAACCGGTCAACTAAAAGAACATCGCTGCTTTCTATCTGGCATCTACCACTTCAAAGATAAAAAAAAAGCATCCTCACCTCATCTTCTGTGACATCACCTTGTTTCTCTTTAATCTTATTAGCGATTGATTTTGATAACTCCACCATTTCCTTAGCCTGAAAAAGAAAGGACAAAGAAGCTATGGAGAAACCTTGTCTCGGATTAAAAAAAAAAAAAAAGAAAAATATACTTTCAAGGTCATCATGGCTGAATCTGAGTGGAACACTTGACACCTACCTTGATCATTAGCTTGCTAAGGTCTTCAAAGGCCTGAAATGAGAAATGAAGTTTGTATTGCAGTCTTTTTAAAGAACTAAAATGTTTTAAAGCAACAATAAACAAAATTTTTTTACAAATATTGATTTACTATTAATTGTATAAGCAACACATCCACCTCATTTTAAAAGTCTACTTTAAGAAACTGCAAACTTCCTCAAACAAATTACAACCAAACGTTCCATAGATGATTATCTAGTGTTTTTGTTTAGTGTTTTTGAACACTTACAAGAAAATCTCAGTCTGGGGCATGGCTCAGTAATAGAATGTTTTTCTGCCATTGGTGAGGTTCTAGGTTATGCCATGGCTAACACACACACATACACACATACAGAGAGAGAGAGAGAGAGAGACAGAGACAGAGAGACAGAGACAGAGAGAGAGAGAGACAGAGAGACAGAGAGAGAGAGAGAGAGAGAGAGATATCACTAATTTTTTTCTGATAGATCAACAAAGATTGTAAAATGCCTTCCAGGTTAAAAATGACAATACCCAGCTGCAGGAATACTGTTTTTGGACATAATTATAACTGAGCCATAGATCTGGACTATTAAGCCATGACACAGTTTTGTGTGCAGTACTTACTGCACACAAAGCATCCAGTGCCTCTCAAACACACCGAGTAAAACCACTGCAACAAATGTCTACTTCGAGGGCTTCTTCAAACTCAATCAGATATATTTCTAATAAATTATTTCAGGTTGCTGTAGAATTTCTCAACTAAGTGATGTGCATGGATATTTCCTTTCTTCCTTTTTTCTCTTTCTTTTTTTCTTTTTCTTTTTCTTTTTTGAGAGTCAGTTAAGCAAGAACTCCACGCACACAGTGGTCTGACATACACAACAGCGGTGACAATCTGCGGGAAGTACCCCCATCTGAAAACCCTTTTTTTTTTTTTAGCTCAAAGAATAGTGTAAGAATAACTGTGTAAGATCCTCATAGCCAGCTCACTAAGCTAACACTGAAAACAAAAGGAACGTGCACACACCTCACAGGAATTTCCTCAGATAAACAAAGGCTTAGACACTGGGTTCTTATCGGCAAGAGCCAGCTGATGCAGGAAGCCTTTGTGGGAGGCCCCGGGCACCGGCTATGAAACTGAGTCAACTCTAACTTTAGAGCACACACCAAAGCTAGAACAGAGGCACATCATGTAAACTTAGATTTCTACACAAGCTGTTAATAAATTTATTTCACTTGTTGAAGTAAAAATGCTATGAGAAATCACTTTATTTTCACAGCAAAAAAAAAAAAAAAAACCCTGAAGCATTGAGTTTACACAGAATATATCCTTTATCACATGTAATCAGTAGAACAAACAGAAATTCCACAGCGCTTTAAAAGAACTGGCTAAAAAATGTTTTAAGTATTAAAATATCAATTACAAAACACAAGTAACAGTTTCTTAAAGTATGGGAAGGTATATAAAATAAAAATTATAGCAAGAAAGATGCACACGTCCATTCTATTATTAAGTCCTTGGCTTACAGAGCGTTCTACTATTGTTATCCACTCCACAGCCAAACTTCATTGTAGTTCTGTTTTAAACCCAGACGCCATGTGCTCGTCTGCAGGGACCGGTTATTCATCTCATTAGCGATTCCCACACGTCTGAATTTTCTGTTCAGTACTAGTGCTTCTTCCCTTTGCATATCCCAGTCCTCTTGCTGGACCCTTCCTTCCTGCTGACACTGCTAACACCACACACCCTTCTGGCCTCCCAGCCCATGTCCCCACTGCTAACAGGTCTTCCAAATCCCAACAAACATCAAGGGCCCTGTCCCGAGTCCCTTCTAGAGACCGCGCTTTCTCGTCACCAGGCATGTCTCACATGCCAACAGTGCCAGTTTGCCTGCCTACCTAGGGGACCATGACAGTAGCCACAGCTTCTTACGCAAGTCCACGTGTGGAGAACAAGAACTATTTCCTAAACAAGTCAGCCTCTGTAACACAACATAATGCCTGTGGAGGATTCTCTGAGGGTGAGAATCCATGGGAATAATTTATTTCCTGAAATGGCATAGTTTAGTTCATAAATTAAAGAACTTTATTTTGAACATCAAGCCCCCTTCAGAAACAGGAATAGTAATAACAAAGAACAGCTCTCTATTCCCGGCCCTCTCTGTATATGTGAGCATAAGAAAAAGCTGGAGCAAAATGTGCCACGGTGAGGGAGGTCTGCCGTAGGAAACGGAGACTATGGATTTTTGGGCAAACTAAATAAATTCCAAATTCCAGAATGTAACTAGTCACAGTGTAGCAAGATGTTTAGGGATTACCTCAGAAATGTTTTTGTCAGTTTCTTTTCTTTTTTCTTCCAGTTTCCTTTCAATCCCTACAATCCCTACAGCTCTTACTCTTCCTGGCTGGAAAAGAAAAAAGAAAAAACAAAAACCAAAAAACAATTAGATCATAAGATACACAAAACGGAAGGAAACAAAGCCCTTTGTAAGCCGCACTGACTTTTCAAAGGTGGGAAAGAGCCCACACAGAAAACAGCAAACAATCACATCCAGCTTCCTTTCCAAAGCATCTGTCTCCTTCTGTTCCTACATAATGACCTTCAACAGCAAAGGAAAATAAATATAACCAGCGACATGCATGCACTTCTCAGTATTTTAGGTAAAATTAAACTTCTTATTCTTTTTTTATTCTTTGGAGATCTATCATATATTAGATATTAATAATCTATCAAATGTATAAAACTGTAGCTAAAATTCTTGTACTCGACAAGTTATTAACAAGCTATTTCCTCACATGTGAGTGTCTGTCCAGAGCTGATGACTGACTCAGACCAATTCCCAGGAAAATTCAAATTTTTTTAAAAAAGCAGAACTCTATTGTTTTTGACAAGTGTGTGATCACAGAGTTTGTTGTCATTGTCTTCTTCCTCCTCCTCCTCTCCTCCTCCCCCTTCTGTGTTTTGTTTTTTTTGAGACAGGATCTTTCTTTCTTTCAACTGATAACTAATAATGGTTTATTTTTACGAAAAGATACTATGTCTTTTCTTTGTATTTACTCGGTGTCCTTCATATCCTGCATCTTGAACCCATTCATTTCCTGTCCCTCTGCACCTGTCCTCTTCCCCTGCAACCTCCCCCAGTAAAACAAAATTTAAAAAGCAAAAAAAAATTAAAAATCTCATCATGGAAGCTGCAGTTTGACACAGTGAGTCACACAGTAAACCCCTTTGTCCATATATCTTTACTTGCAAGTGGTCACTGGTCTGGTTCAAAGCCTCTGGTTTCTACTACACCATCAAAACCAGGCCCTCACTGAGACTCTTCTTGGATATCTTGTTGCCCTGTGTTGTGGAGATCCTGCAGCTCTGGGTCTGTAGGACAGGCCCTTTACATGCTCCAGTAGATCACAGATGGGGTAGATGTTGGGGCAGGCCAAGCCATAAGCCTGGTTCTGGACCTGGGCAGCTGCAGGGTTGGTCAGTCCAGCTGCTCTCCCCTGTCCCACCACCAGGGTGAGCTCTCCAGCACTGCCCCAGCTATTTCACGCTGGCAGCAATGAGGGACCAGTTCTCCTGTTTTCATGCCCTCAGGGTCTGCTCTCCCACACCTACACCATCAAGGGCAGCTCTACTGTGTTACCCCAGTGAGCCACAGGTACAGGGGTCACTCTCCCCAGTGCTGCAGCTGATGAGGGGCAGGGACAGCTCTCCTGCTCTTATGACCCCAGGACCAGCTCCACTACTGAGTCTTCCTAAAGAGTATTTAAGTACAGAAATGAAAACAGTGCATTGGCTGGCCTTGTGGCTCACACCCAGTACTTGGGAGGCTCAGGCAGGAGGACCACTTCAAGAATGGGACCAGCAAGGCTACACAAGATTTTAGGTTACCCTGTCTTAAGAAGACAAACAGAAAAGAAGATATTGAACTTACAAATAGCTTTAACAATACCTGGGGGCCTTTATTTGTTTGTAATGACTGGGAAACTGGCACATTCTCCCACCTTCTCTGTGTCATTTCCTCTGATAAACGCCTATAAAACTGTAACATATATGCAAAGACTTGAGTCAGTCAAATGGCAGCCATCACACACACTACTAAAACATCTGTTTAGTATAACGTTCTGCTCAGTTGCCAGTAACAGGACTAGACCCTCGGACAGCAAAGGAAGGCAACAGCTGTCTTCTAGGATCAGCTTCAGAAAGCACAAAGAAATCAAAACACATATCCAAGCGCGCACGCGCGCGCGCGCACACACACACACACACACACACACACACACGAGCTGGCCTCTACACACAACGGAGTGCTCTCCCCACAGATGAATGCCACTTCAGCAAACGCCCGCACTTTAGGCAATCCTACAGATGTGGAGCGCTGTCAGCCTATACTGAAACAAACAGTCCGGAAAAATTACACAACCATTTCTCCACAAAAAGAGCAGAGAATAATTTGTGTAGTTAAAATACAAGGTAAAAATTAGGGACAAGTCAAATGCAATAGTATACATCTATAATCCCAACAGAAGGATCAGTGCTAGGCCACCCTCAGCTAGATAACAAATTCAAGGCCACTATGTGTCACATAATACTCTATCTCAAAAAAAACAAAATAAAAAAAAAGCTAAAACAAAATTAGAGACAAAATGTGGCTAGGCTCACAAATAATCCAACGTATTCCAACTCCAGTGAAAACACCTTTGGCAAGTGTGGTGGTTTGAAAGAAAACGGACCCCAAAAGGAGTGACTCCAATAGGAAGTGTGGCCTTGTTGGAGTGGGTGTGACCTTGTTGGAGGAAGCACGTCACTGTGGGAGTGGGCTTTGAGGTCTCCTATGCTCAAGCTACTCCCAGGGTCTAAGACCATTTCCTGCTGCCCGCAAGATGTAGGAGTCTCAGCTACTCCCCCAGCACCATGTCTGTCTGCAGTCACCATGCTCCCCACCAGCACCACGTCTGTCTGCATGTCACCACGTCTGTCTGCATGTCACCATGTCTGTCTGCAGTCACCATGCTCCCCGCCATGATGTATATGCACTGAACCTCGGGAACTGTAAGCGAGCCCCAGTCAAAGGTTTTCCTTTATTGGAGTTGCCGTGGTCCTGGTGTCTCTTCCCAGTGGTAGACACCCTAACTAAAACAGCAATTCACTTCGGTTGGCTTTGAAACAACTGTGTGAGAAGCACTCAGGGGCTGCTGCACAAGACAGCACAGGTGTCTCAAGAACAAGTGTGCAGCGGCTTCCTCACTCGGTCCTCTAACCACAACACTGGGCTATTGGACCCGAGCCATTCTCTCTATGGAGCTAACGGAGATCAGCTGCCTGGTGCTGAGCTTTCAGAGAGCAGCTGAATCCCTTCCCACGCTGCGGTCTGATGCCCCATCAACTACCCCCTAGCAGCTTCTCTAGCAGCTTCCCGCTTTGGATGCCATGCAACCACACCTCTGCTTTTCACTCTATAAGACTCGGAACATAAAAAGGTTTTGCTTTGTTTTTTGTTTTTGTAAAAATGTGGTTTATAACCTTCATAACACTGTCTTCTACTGCATTAACACAACACATACCTTTGATCATAATAACACACAGCACACACCTTCAATCACAATACTGTCGTCTGCCGCATTAACACACAGCACACACCTTCAATCACAATACTGTTTCCTACCATATAACACACAACACACGTTCAAATCCAGCTGTACTCATAGGGGAGCTTACCTCGATTTGGCCATGCTCTTTGAAGGAGAGTTTGATGTAGGAGTTTTTACTGCTCTGGAATGGACCGGGCTCTTTGTTAGAAGGAGCTGGGTGCAGATGAACCACGATTTTGGCACTAATGAAACAGCAAATATGTTGATGAATTTTTAAAATTCTGTTTCTATAACTTTTCATTTGCTTATTTACTTACTACTTATGTATTGTTTTGAGGCAGGATCTCACTGTGTAGCTCTGGCAAGCCTGGAATTTGCCAGATCCCCCAGCCTCTGCCTCCCACGTGCTGAAACTAAAAGTGTGTGCCACTACAATGAGCACTATTTTTTAAACATGTTGTACATTTCCAATCACTCTGAAATTCATAGAGAAATAATGAATTTCAAAAACATCCTTTTCTAATTTATATTCAGAATCATTAAAACCTGCAAAAATAAAACTTGTAAGATATAAACTAAATGCCATTGTCTATACAGGTAAAATAAATGCATGGCTTTACAAATGAATTCAGAATAATTTTGTAATGTTTTGAGTGGTTTATGTCTAGGCTTCCCATCCAAAGTCACCACCTGAGGTCACATGGAGCTATCACTTCTGCCAAAGCAGTCTACCTTACCTACCTGAGAACACGTGAAAAGTTACTTGTAAGATGGGCTGGCTGATATTTTAATAAAAACTCAGCCAAAACTTACGTCCTACAGTGTCGTTTGCTGGAAATGCCGCTCATGCAGCAGCATGATCTGGAAGACCTGACGATAAGGACAACTCTGAACCCTGCTGACCTACAGAGAGACCGTGTGTGTCAGCAGCAGCATCTCAGCACTGTTAAATGCATACAGACCTGCTTCACCAGGGTCTAGCCTGGGGACTCCTCCTGATCCTCCTCCCACACACCCTGCCCAAACCCCATATCTACACACTAGAAAATGGAAAGACAGGTAGTGCTCATGGATTGGTAGAATCACCACTGTGAAGATGACTGTCTTATTAAAAACTATTTATTGATTCAATGCAATCAAAATCCAAAACAGTATCTCACTCTGAACTGAAACAGAAAAAGGAAAAAAAAAAAACTATCCTAAAAATCATATGGAACCACAAGGATCTCAGAGAGCCAAAAATACTGAGCAAAAACTATGGTTCTGGAGAGGTTACCATTTCAGAGCCATAGTAATAAAACACAGACGGACACGCAAACCAATGTGACACAACTGACCCAAGTATGAGTACATAAACTTCAGCAATTAATATATGACAAAAATGTAAAAAAAAAAAAAAACCCCACAAAACATAAGTTGGAGGGAAAAAAAACCATCTTCAACAAATGGTGCTGGGAAATATGGATGTTGACATGCAGGAGAATGAAATTAGACCCCTATCTATCACCTTGGATGAAAACTAACCCCAAATGGATCAAAGACCTAAACGTGAAACACTGAAACATCACTGTAAGAAAACATGGGCAGTGTCTTCCGTGATACAGGTTAGGGAAGGACTTTCTGAATAAAACGCCATTTGCTCAGGAATCAAGGCCAAAAACTGACGACTAAAAAGTTTCTGCACAGCTAAAGAATCGACCAATCGTGTGGAGAGGAAGTCACAGACTGGGAGAGAATCTTCGTCAGCTATTCATCTGATAGAGGATTACCCTCCACGATATAGAGAACCCAAACAACAAAGAATCAAAGAAACGAAAACCAAATGACTCATTTAAAAAATATGCTTGGGATCTGAACACAGAGAAGAAATATCTAAAAAAAAAAAAAAAAATGTTCATTCTCCCTAGCAGTTAGGGAAGTACAATCAAAACAATTTCAAGATTCCATCTTACTCCAGTCAGAATGGCAAAGATGGCCATGTTCATTGCTGCTCTGTTCACAACAGCAGGAATGGAAACACCTACATGTCCTTCAACCAGCAAACAGATAATGAAATTGTGCCACACATGGGCTGGAGAGATGGCTCAGAGGTTAAGAGCACTGGCTGCTCTTCCAGAGGTCCTGAGTTCAATTCCCAGCAACCACATGGTGGCTCACAACCATCTGTACTGAGATCTGGTGCCCTCTTCTGGCCTGCATGGATAAGTGCAGACAGACACTGTATACATAATAAAATAATAAATATATCTTTAAAAAAGGAGAAAATGTGGTGCACATATACTGTGGCATACTATTTAGCTATAAAGGTAAATGAAAACATGAACCTTGCAGGTAAGTAGACAGAACTAGAAAATATTGTATTGGTTGAGGTAACGCAAACTCAAAGACAAATGTTACATGTTCTCTCTCATCTGAGGTCCTTAACTTCTTTAGGTTCTTCAGTGTGAGTACATATCCTGGAGTAACCTCAGAAACAAAGAGTGAAAAAGACCAAGGTGGGGGGAGGAGCAATAGAGAAGATGCTTGAATAGCAGGGTACAGCAGATTTGAAGGGGAAAATGAGACAAATGGGCACAGGGGGCTTTAATTAGGGCGGTAGAAGGAGATAACTTTTTTTTGTGAATAAAGGTTTTAGAGCTCACTCAGGGTAGTGGTGGTGCATGCCTTTAATTCTAAGCCCTTGGAGGCAGAGGCAGGGGATCTCTGTTGAGTTCGAGGCCAGAGCGGGTTCCAGAAACACAAAACAACAAACAAACAAACAACAGAAAGATTGTTAGACCTCACCTCTTCCCAATTCCGGCCGCCTGTTCTTCGATGAACACAACCTGGGACAGAGGAATGGCCATGCAGCACTCCTGGGAGGAAAGCAACAGGAGAGAGCTCTGTATGCAGTCAGAGGATCAGTCAGCAGCGGGAGCGCTGTTCATCAACACTGTATTCCTTAACCAAACCGCTCACGTTAGCCAGGCCAGGAAGGCACATGCCTGTCACACTCCCAATCTCCTTAGTAAACTTAAGGAAAATTGAAATAAAACTCTGTGCTGCCAATTGGCGCATGGGCGAGCATAAGGAGAGACTTAAAGGCAAGCGCAGGACTGGCAAGATGGCTCAGAGGGAAAAGGCACCTTCCCAAAACCTAAACCTGAGTTCCAACCCTGGGATCCCACGGGGGAAGGGAGAAGTCTGCAAGCTATCCGCTGCCCTCTGCACGTGCACAGCGGTATGCCCACACTCATGGACACACAGAATACGATAATAAATCAAATTAAACCAGGAAGTGATACCTCTCTAATCTTGGTACTAGTGAATCCGAGACAGAAAGATAAGGAGTTCAAGGCCAGCCTGAGCTATACAGTAAGACCCTGTCTCAAAAAATAAAAGTAAAATGAGGTGCAGGGTTGGCTCAGCAGTTAAGAGCATTTGCTGTTCTTTCTATAGAAAGAATAAAAATATCTATTATATATATAATTATATATATAAAGAGAGAGAGAAAGACAGACAGAGACAGAGAGACACTAGACAGTTTTTCCTGTTGACAACTGTACCTTTAAAGTTAAAATTCTTTGGAATAGAGATATCAGCTCATACATACACCTCACTCCATCTAGAAACTATACAATCAGAATGAGGAGTCTCTTCTTTTTTTTTTCTTTGATTTTTTGAGACAGGGTTTCTCCACAGCTTTTGGTTCCTGTCCTGGAACTAGCTCTTGTAGACCAGGCTGGCCTCAAACTCACAGAGATCCACCTGCCTCTGCCTCCCGAGTGCTGGGATTAAAGGCGTGTGCCACCACCGCCCGGTTTAGGAGCCTCTTCTTGAGTGAAACAGGGCAAGGCCTTTCTCGAATTCCTGCGGCTGAGCGCCCCTGCTTCGCCAAGTGGCACACCACTCCTGCTTCTGTCTTTTTAAGGATCCCTCAGAACGGGAATGACTCCTCCCCTACACTGAGGCAGGCTGTAGGAAGGAAGGACTGGTATTTGAAAGCCTAAGAATTAAGCGTCTCACCACCGGGGAAGCAGAGGCAGGTAGATCTTTGAGACCGAGGCCAGACGGGTCTACAGCAAGTTCAAGGTGTGACGAGGCTAGAGAGTAAAACGTTGTTATCTCAAAACAAAACAAGAACCATCAAGAGAACACAAACAGGCCAGGCGGTGGTGGCGCACGCCTTTAATCCCAGCACTCGGGAGGCAGATGCAGTCAGATCTCTGTGAGTTCGAGACCAGCCTGGTCTACAAGAGCTAGTTCCAGGACAGGCTCCAAAACCACAGAGAAACCCTGTCTCGAAAAACCAAAAAAAAAAAAAAAAAAGAGAACACAAACAACAACTTGAATGAAGGTAGCTGAGGGTATAATTCAGTGATGTAGCACACACTCTGCATAGTCAAGGCCCTCGGTTCCAATTCACACATTAATTAAACACAGCCCAGAATTAGATGTAAAAGCTGAAGTCTCTTACATTGTTTTTCTGATCTCTCCAAATCAGCCGGTGTGTACTAAGAAGAAGTGTCCCCGCATCGAATTTTATCTAAAACGATAAGATTGTTACAAATAATCAATATCACTACATATTATACAAATTTTCTTACCTAATTAGCATATATGAAATTATTAAACATTTTAGAGCAAGGTTTATCATAATTAAAAAGAAATGCTATATACCTTAGTCTATATATTATATTACACACATATATTATATATAATATGTATATATATCCATTATAGAACTATAAAAAATTCTAAATAACCTACATGTGGTATCAGAGGTAGTTAATGAAATGTATCTATAGTACAGCACACATGGAATGAATGCTAAGACAGAGCGAATGGGAAAAAAAGGGAATTTGCAATGTATTACACACAATGAAATTCTCCAACAGAAGGTGCTTTATATGTGTGGGTACACACATCTCATGTAAGTACCAAAGAGAAGGTCTAAATGAGTATACAGTAAGCACTCACTGGTCTCAGGAAAGGGTGAGGAAATGGGAGGGAGAAAAAGAAGCAAGGGATCTGTGAGCCCATTTCTGGATGTAAAGGCAGAAGGTTTGGGGCCAGCTAAGGCTACAGAAGACCCTGTTTTCTCCACTTCCCCACAAAAATAAAAATACATTGTATAATAGTATGAAAAAGATGGCATCTATGTCTGCATGACTGAAGTTTTAATTTCGTAGATTATTATTCCTGAAAATTAGACAATAAACCAATTTAGAGTTAGTATTCAAGAGATTAATAAATCAAATCCTTCCAGTGCTGTTAAAAATGTATATATGAAGTTTCTATTTCTCTAAACACTAGAGAGCAGAATTTGCCATACAATAAGATTTGGTTGAATCATTTTTCTCTGCTCCACTCCGTTCCTCTCCCCTTCACCCTCCAACCCTCCCCCAAGGTCCCCATGCTCCCAATTTATTCAGAAGATCTTGTCTTTTTCTACTTCCCACGTAGATTAGATCTATGTAAGTCTCTCTTTGGGTCCATATTGTTGTCTAGGTTCTCTGGGATTGTGGTTTGTAGGCTGGCTTTCTTTGCTTTATGTTTTAAAACCACCTATGAGTGAGTACATGTGGTAATTGTCTTTCTGTGTCTGAGTTACCTCACTCAAAATAATGTTTTCTAGCTCCATCCATTTGCCTGCAAAATTCAAGTTGTCATTATTTTTTTCTGCTGTGTAATACTCCACTGTGTAAATGTACCACATTTTCATTACCCATTTTTTTTTGGTTGAGGGGCATTTAGGTTGTTTCCAAGTTCTGGCTATGACAAACAAAGCTGGTATGAATATAGTTGAGCACATGTCCTTACGGCACGATTGAGCATCCTTTGGATATATACCCAAAAGTGGTATTACTGGGTCTTGAGGAAGGTTGTTTCCTAATTTTCTGAGAAATCACCACACTGACATCCAAAGGGATTGTACCAGCTTGCATTCCTACCAGCAATGCAGAAGTGTTCCCTTTTCCCCACAACCTCTCCAGCATAAGTAGTCATCAGTGTTTTTGATCTTGGCCATTTTTACAGGTGTAAGATGGAATCTCAGAGTTGTTTTGATTTGCATTTCTCTGATGACTAAGAATGTTGAACATTTCCTTAGTGTCTTTCAGCCATTTTAGATTCCTCTGTTGAGAGTTCTCTGTTTAGGTCTGTACTCCATTTTTTTTATTGGATTATGTGATCTTTTAGTGTCCAATTTCTTGAGTTCTTTGTATATTTTAGAGATCAGACCTCTGTCTGATGTGGGGCTAGTGAAGATCTTTTCCCATTCTGTAGGATGTCGTTTTGTCTTGTTGACCGCGTCCTTTGCTTTACAGAAGCTTTTCAGTTTCAGGAGGTCCCATTTATTAATTGTTTCTCTCGGTGCCAACTTAGGTTTCTATCGCTGTGATAAACACCACTGTAGTAGCGTTTCATTTGTATTTTAGTAAATAAAGCTTGCCTGAAGATCAGACAGTACCACTGGTTAGCCTTACAGACTGGGTGGTGGTAACACACACCTTTAATTCCAGTAGCCACACTAGTTGCCATAGAAATACATGACCAAAAACATGTGGGGGTGGGGGTTAGGGGGAGTTGGGAGGGTATTTCAGCTTACAGTTTACAATCCATCATGAAAGGAAGTCAGAGCAGGAACTGAAGTGGAGACCATGGAATAATGCTTCCTAGTGGCTTACTCCCCATGGGTCTCTGAGCTTGCTGTTTTATACAGTGCAGGACCACCGGGCCATCGGCAGCGCTGCCCACAACGGGCCAGGCCCTCCCACATCCATCATTACTAATCCAGAAAATGCCTCACGGACCTGACCACAGAAAAATCTGACAGAGGCCTTTTCTCAAATGAAGTTCCCTCTTCCCAGATGATCCTGGCTCGTGATAGGTTGATAAAAAAAAAAAACCAAACAGTGCAATATTCCACCAGAATACTTGGACTTATCCGAGAAAAGACTTACAAAATCTGAGTTTTCTTGCATCAGAAGTAAAAGGCTAGGCAGGGTGGCGCAGGCCTTTAACCCCAGCACTGAGAGGCAGAGGCAGGCGCGGCCACGGTGAGTTCGAGGCCAGCCCGGTCGACATGGAGAGTTCCAGGACAGCCATGGCTACATAGAGAGACTCTGTCTCAAAAAGAGAAGGAGGGGAACCGGAGAGATGGTTCAGCCATTACGGGGACCCAGCACCCACAGAGCAACTCACAAGTCCAGGGAACCTGACACCTCCGGCCTAGGCGGACACCTGCCCTTCTGTGCACACACCCGCATGTAGACACGCACACTTATACACAATTAAAAATAAGAAAAACGTCACAATAAAAAGTAGAGCTCAAGTACCTTCTAGAATGCAATTCAGCCTAACTTTAAGCGTCTTGGCTGGTCTAATTTACACAAAACTGGGCTTACGATATTTTAAGAATCTCTTTGCTGCTAAGTGAAATCCCCCGTTTTCAAAGCAAATGTTTTGTTAACTTGGAAGTGCAGTTAGATCAGAGCAGTTTTTGTTTCATCTTGTTGAAATCAAAGTTTAGGATGTACGTTTGAAGTTCCTGTCAGAATTGTACCACTCGCCCTGTCAATCAATGGGCGTGAGGAAACGAGAAAGGCTGTGGCTCCAGGGAGGAAATTGTGCCACCGTTTCCTTCAGTTCTCCTGTGGGTTATTCTCTCAACCCGACAGACAGGTTTGTCTAGCTTGCATTTACTACTCAAAACCAGAATAATCGGAGCTACTTTAAATCAAACTTTGTTTAAGAACGGTTGCGGAGAAGATCCTGCCTCAAAAACACCACCCTAAGAAACTCGGGGGACCTGGGTCAAACGTCGCGTGCACCTCCAACAGCTGTAAGCACGGACCAGGCCAGGAAAAAGTGTATCAAATCACAGAGGGAGGCTTCGTTTCCCCCACAGCGAGGAAGGAGGAACGCGACAAATGAAAACTGGAAAGCAAAAGTGCTTGCGGGAACGCGAGCTCTATTCCCCGTTCTCAGGTCGCGCATTTCATTCAGAACAGGAAGGCTTGGGGAGTTTCCAGTGTGTACAAAATACTTCCTTGCATCAGGGATGTCTCTTATCGTTTGCAAGCCCATCCCTTAAGATTTCTGCTTGCGCTACAAGGCAGAGCTTACTGCATGAGTCCATAACGCAAGCAGGGGCTGGACCCGGCTGCCTCCCTCGGAAATCCTGTTGGGCGAGGGACCGGCCGCGGCTCAGCCCAGTACAAATCCATCACCCATCCATCCCGCAGGAGATTGGGGGAAGGCGTTCCGGGGGCGCGCCCCCGATCAGGCGGAACTGGACCGTTCCGGGGGCGCGCCCCAGATCAGCCGGAACTGGGCAGTCCCTGGCTCCGATCCCCCCCACCCCTCCTCCGGTCCCCCGCGTCCCGGCTCCACGGTCCACCGTGCACCGCGGGCCGCGAGGTCGAGGCCGGGGGCCCTGGGCCGAGAACCAGGCCGTGCCGAGCCCAGCACTAGGGTCCGCGGGACGGGGCGGCCTCCGCCCTACCTTCTCCTCGCCGTCGTAGACGCGCACCCCGCGCTGCTGGATCACCAGCGTCTCGTTGATCTCCAGGAGGCCGCTGGTCCACACGAAGCGGTCCATGGCCGCGCCGGGCCGGCCTCTGCCGCTCGCCCGTGCTCCCGGGCTGCGAGCGGCGCCCCCTGGTGGCCGGCGGGGGTGGGGCGGCCGGGAGGGAGTCGCCCCCCCACCCCGACCTCAGACAGGCGGGGTGAGGGAGCGCCCCCTGGCGGCGGCCTCTCGTGCGCTCGTTTGTTTCCCTGGCCCTGCCCAGCCTGTTGATAGGCTTGTCAAAGGTTGTAAATAATGATATTTTTGTTATTGTTGGTTTTCAAATAACTGTTGACAGCAGGGATTGTTTTTAATACACCTGTAATCAGTATATCGGGTGGTACCCTCTGCTCCTCGCTCAGGGTTTTGTTTTAGACTAATTTTTATAAGATTGTATTTATTTTATGAATGTCTGTGTGGGCGGGGCACATGCAAGGGCTCGCCTATAGGAGACAGAAGACACCCAATGAGAGCTGGTTCTCTCCTACCACCGCAGATCTTGGGGATCAGACTTCAGGTTATGAGGATTGGCAGCAGGCACCTTTACCTATTTAACCACCCCACTCCCTTTTTTTTTTTTTTTTTTAAAAATGGGCATTAGATCAATATTAATGAAGGTGACATTGAAAATAAAACATAAACCAACCCCACGCAGATTATCGTTTAATAAGGACAATGAAGGACACCAGTCCCTCCTAGGGACTGGAGACTGGACACGTAGTGCGGGGTGGGGTTGGGGGTTGGCGTTTTATGGGGCTGGAAAGGGGAACTTCCGGGATGCAAGAGTCCATCTGCAAGTCAGTTCCCCTGCAGTCTCAGTGATTGCTGATCTTATCCTAGGCTTCCTGCATCCTGACAGCCCACTGGTGCTTCAGGTCAACTTTCCTGCCTGGAGTTTCTCCGCCCTCCTGAGACTTTTAGGTCTTTAACCTTCAGTGTGTCTGGGCGTTTTGCCTAGCTGAAGGTCTGTGCTGAGATCCATGCCTGTTACCCAGATAGAGCAGAAGGTTTTAATTATTCTGTCCAATGTAAACTAACTTTCTCTCTCTCTCTCTCTCTCTCTCTCTCTCTCTCTCTCTCTCTCTCTCTCTCTCCCAGCCTCTGCGCAGCTATCAATTGCCAATAGTTCCTCAGCTAAAGGTGGGACTTCTCATCTCCTCCTCCATCCCTGTTGGGATTGTGTTCTCCTTGAATTTATATAGATCTTGTGCATGCAATTACAGCTGCTGTCAGCTCCTATGTGCAACTGTCCTTGTTGTGTATAGGAAATGCAGTTTCACTGCAGTCCCACACNGGAGTGCTCCAGGTAAGCCTGGGCTCCGTAGTAAGACCCTAAAAACAAACAAGCAGCAGCAACAACAAAATACCACACAGGAACAAGGAAGGAAGGAAAAAAGGAGGAAAGGAAGGAAAGGGAAGAGAAGGGAAGGGAAGAGAGGGGAGGGGAAAGGAGGGGGAGAGAAGGGAAGGGAAGGGAAGGGAAGGGAAGAGAAGGGAAGGGAAGGGAAGGAAGAATTTCTCCTTTTTTAACCCTTCTATGGTTGCTAAGTTTCTACTTAAGTATTTTGAGCTGGACAGCAGCTAAAATCACTGACTGCTCTTCCAAAGAACCCAGGTTCAATTCCCAACACCCACAAGGCACTCACAACTGTCTGTAACCCCATTTCCAGGGGATTCAAAGCCTCCTTCTGGCCTTTGAGGGCACCAAACATGCATTTGATGCAACAGATATACTTGTAAGTAAAGTATCCATGCAAATAAAAAAATATTTTTTAAAAAAGAAATTTTTGCCAAACAGCACTTTTCTGTATCTTCTTCTGTTTTACAGTTTTCTTTCTTATACTAGGTGTATGTTTCATCTTGAGGCTGTCAGTCCTTGTCTAATGTAAAGTTGAGGTAAAGATCAAAGTTTGCAGTGTGCACATGTTAAAATTCAGTTACCACGACTGTTTATGAACGGTTGTTTTTGGAAACTGTAAACATCAATCGGTCAGCTAGCCTGGTTATAGCTCTGAAATTGTTGTGTTCCTGTTCCCTTGTTTGTCTTTGTGTCATACCGTCTCAATCATCGCGGTCTTATAACTCTTGACAACATCTTGTCCACTTGGGACTCTTCCACAGTTGTCTTTCCTTCTCTAGGTCCTTTACATCTCGTGTTAATCTTTAGAACAACACAGTTGTTGATCTGAGTGCATACTGTAGCTGTTCATTTAGTTTCTGTCGTTTCTCTCCATTGAACGTTTGTGCCAGGAGCCGCCTACTTTCTGAATTTAGTGAGATCCCTTTGAGGATCTCACAACCTCGCCAGTTCTCTGCCATGTCATCACTGTGGCTCTCTCTATCTCGTTTGTTTCCCAGCTGTCCTCCTTCTGTCCTTAGGACCGACCCACCCTGCCCTCCCACAAGCACAGTACCTGTTTCACACACCTGCAGGAGAAGCTGATCAACCACATTATATGTGTACAGTTTATAGCCAGCTGTGTTGATGGTGACCTGTTCTGAAAGAAGTCTTCTTTGACCTTTTAGAAAAGAATCTGTCTTGCCTCCCAACACTGTGGAATGGCTGTGTGTGTGTGTGTGTGTGTGTGTGTGTGTATTTAAAAACAAGCTGCTCTTTGTGTAACATTGAGCCCTGTGGGCTTTCCCCCATCCACTTTGGCATGTCGGAATGAGAGCAAGGAGGGGTGGATGGGAGAGTTTGGAAGGAGTAGAGGGAACGGAGAATGATGTGGTCTTGTTAAAATCTCATAAAAGAAAAGAAAAAAAGAAACTCTGTTCTTGGAGTGGGCATATCTGAAAATTAAGGAGAAACTGCCATGTTGGGAAATAGCAGTCTCAAGGCTTTCTTACTATCTCGGTGTATTGAAATCTCCATGGTTTTTCTTTTGTTTTGGGTTTGTTTTAACCACAGACACTTTTTAAAAAAGCTATTAAGGTGAGTTTCACAGTGCTGTGGAGTAATCCTTCTTACATGCCCAGCTGCTTAGGGTTTAGCTGACTCCAGACATAGTCAAGTTGACAACCAAGACATAGTCAAGTTGACAACCAAGTCATAGTCTAGTTGACAACCAAGACTAGCTATCGGACCAATGGAACTTGAGCAATCAGCCATATTGTGGTGAGCGTGTAAATAGCAGCCATACTGTGGTGAGTGTGTAAATAGCAGCCATATTGTGGTGAGTGTGTAAACAGCAGCCATATTGTGGTGAGTGTGTAAACAGCAGCCATATTGTGGTGAGTGTGTAAACAGCAGCCATATTGTGGTGAGTGTGTAAATAGCAGTGGTGTCTTTAAAGCTGCTCAGCTCTTGCTTCTCCCAAAGTTGGTAAAGCTGCACTCAAACAGGGTATTTCCAAAGGAAAGGAAAGCTACAGAAGCGCCAGGGCTGTCGCTCAATGGAAGAGCACTTGAAAAAGTCTCTGAGTTCAGTTACTAGCACTGAATAAATAAATAAATAGCCGGGCAGTGGTGGCACAAGCCTTTAATCCCAGTACTTGAGGGGCAGAGGCAGGTGGATCTCTGTGAGGCCAGCCTGGTCTACAAGAGCTAGTTCCAGGACAGGCTTCAAAGCTACAGAGAAACCCTGTCTCGAAAAACAACAACAACAACAACAAACAAACAAATAAAAAATGCACTAATAAAATGTCTGAGGGGGGAAAACAGAGAAAATAGGAGAAAAGTTGACCACAGCTGAGAGCTAGCTGGGGAGACCCTCTGGCCCGAGTAATAGGAAGACAGCATTCTCCCTCAAATAAAACAAGGCCTCTAACATGGTGTCGGTTGTCTTAACGTCTGGAGTGGAGCTGGTATAGCTATCTAAAGATAACCCAAGATTGATTGTAGCTGGGCCCTGGACCCGCATCATTCTAACCTCTCCACAATAAAGAGTTCCAGTTTTGAAGATGTAGCCTCTTTCTGGGAAGATATTTCACACACGTCATCTTCCTGAGGGTTGGGATTACAGATGTGAACCGCCGTTGCTCGACTGTCTGGGTTTTATATAGGTGACATGTTTACACGACGGGAGTGAAAGATTATAGCAAGACACCAAAATAAACAAACATAGAGAAAACTGTCCAACAAGCGTTAGTTTATCTTCACAGGAGATTATATACTGCCTCAGAGGAACAGAGAGTTACAGCCTTTTTTTTCTTCCTTTCTCCTTGTTCACACGCACTCAGGAGGCCAAGGAAGATGAAAGTTCTAGGCCAATACATTGCAAGACTTTCAATTAAATAGTAACGGCTCAAAGGTAGATTTCATTTTAAGATTTTGTTTGCAAGCTGTGCAAACACGGACACCTAACATCTGAGCTCATCCCGCCTGAGAGATGGAGTCACAACCCACTTGAGTTAGGCAGTTCGAGAGAGCATTTGTGAATATGTACTCCTCAGGGAAGTTTCCAGCTGCGTCCTCGGTGAGAGCACCAGCAGCCAGCAGCCATCTGGCTGTGTCTGAAGACTTGTCCTGACTTGTCCACCCTAGTCCTGTTAGATCCTGAGGATTCAACGAGCCCGCTCCGCCTCCGTCGTCCATCCAGCTGGAAGAGCATCGTTTGATTTTTTGAAAATTCTCGCCAGACTGCCAACCCTACAGACTCCGGGACGGCCCCGCCCCTCGTCCAGGCCCCGCCCCCTCCTCGCTCATTGGTCCGTTCAATCCACGCCGGCGCCGAGGCGCGCACATTAAGAGATGGCAGAGTCCAGGAAACGCTTCCCAGGCCGGTCTGGGAGGAACACCTTGCCGGTGCCCCGGGACCTGCAGCTGCCCCCGACCAAGAGAGACCAGCCGGCCTTCAGAGGTGAGCGGCGGCGCCTCACGTCCTCCGGAGAGCCTACCCCGCGTCTCGGTGCAAGCTGCCGGGCAGCGGTTTTAGCGCGGTGGTCCGGGGTGGGGGTGGGGGGGCGGGGCCGCATGGACCCCGACTGCGCCTGCGCGCGGGTTCTCTTGCTCTGAGCGCCGGCGAGGCTGGGGCTGTTGGCGGACGTCCTGGACCTTTTGGAAAACTGGAGTTGAATGGGTCTGCGGCAGTAACACGGAAAGCGTTTCCTCACCCAACTTAGCTCTGTAAGTTGGTCAGAAACTTGGAGACT